ACGCAGGATCCTCAAATGCTGTATACAACATTGTATCAGGTGACGAATCCTGGATATACGCGTACGAACCCGAAACAAAAAACCAGTCACGAGTTTGGGTGTTCGAAAATGAGTTAAAGCCAACAAAAATTGTTCGTTCACGGAGTGTTGCAAAAAAAATTGTGGCCACGTTTGTCTCCAAAACCGGCCATGTTACGACTATTCCTCTTGAGGGACAAAGAACGGTTAATGCAGAATGGTATGCTAGCATTTGTTTGCCACAGGCCGTTTCTGAACTCCGTAAAGAGAACTGCAACCGCCGCATCATCCTCCATCACGACAATGCGAGTTCTCACACCGCGCACAGAACAAAAGAGTTTTTAGAGCAAGAAAACATAGAATTATTAGACCATCCGCCGTACAGCCCCGACCTAAGCCCTAATGATTTCTATACTTTCCCTAAAATAAAAAATGAATTGTGTGGACAGAGATTTTCATCACCTGAAGAAGCTGTGGACGCCTACAAAACGGCCATTTTGGAGACCCAACTTCCGAATGGAAGGGTTGCTTCAATGATTGGTTCCATCGTATGGAAAAATGTGTCAAATTTCGCAGAGAATACTTCGAAAAGCAATAAATACATTTTTAAATAATAATGTTGTGGCACTTCGTTAATTCCCGAAATTTTCAGTGCCACCCTCGTACTATTTTAATTTGTAGGTACTTATTAACTCCATGATTGTCATTAAGTTAATTGACAGCTAGTTCCCTCGACGTCACTGTCAATGTCTCGAATAAATTGACGTTTTAATCGTGCCTGTAATGCAAACGATATTAGCTTATACTGACTCGGTGATGCAGTAGTTATCGGCCCTGACTGTTGAGCCGAGGGTCGTGGGTTCGATTCCCACATCGGGCAAACGACCTAGCTCGCTTTGTCCTTTCCCTCTCTGCACGATCGAGAGGTTTGAGAGACGCTGTCTATTGTCTCACTCTCACTCTTCCTAAATTGTATCTTTTGTCTCTAACCGTAACGAATCTGTCGCGAGTTAAATTTTATTCTCAACGCGCCTAAAGAAGTTTCACTTCAAAAAGCTCCTAAATGTTTTGGTCTTTATCTATTCAAATATAGCCTATATAATTAAGTGCATTATGGTCTACATTGCATTGTGTAGGTGAGCGGTGCCAAGTGGCAGTACGCAGCGAGAGCGGCCGTCATGACCATGATGGGTTCTTTCGGTGGTGGATGCTTCGGTCTACTGTGAGTTATTTGTCTTCATAAAAACATTTTATCAGTAACAGACTACCAAAGATTTAGTCTCTTGAAAAATTGTGGTTAAAATAAAATCAGTTCTTGACAACGCGACGTTGATATCTTAAGCTTCAAAGTATGTACTTTGAAGCTGAATAATTTAAATTCTCAATTAAAATTTTCGGCGTTTACCAAAAAAAAAAACAATAATTCTGGATAACGCCACTTGAATTCTTACGGTGGGATATGTAAATTACCATTCCGTATTTCGGTTTTTATATTCGCGGCATATTTGCGAAACAAATACCATGCAAATAAAGAGCTTTTACTGTATTAATTAATTATTATCGAAGACGAAACCTTACGCTGTACTGACCTGATGCTGCTAATCTCGTGCAGGTTCACGCTTATCAAGAACAAAGGAAAAGCTGAGGTTATGGAGCTGATTAACAGCATCCTCGGTTCTCTGGTGTCTATAACAGGTATGCATTCAAGGAACGTAGTTTTTAATACGCTTTTGTTAGCTTCAGACGTACTGTAGGCGCGCGAGTTCATGTCCATCCTGAGGAATGCGGTAGTGCTGTGACCTAATTAATTATGGTAATGTCGATAATAACTACCGATTTAGTCAAAAGCTGTCCATTTGGTTTAATGTAACTTAAGGTAGTTTTGCAATTTATGAAATAAAATAAATGTGATAAGTAATTACATACTTGTTTATTTCTAATAGAGAAAAATATTTTTTAAATTCCAGTTCAATCACTATCGAGTGAAAAGACATCCGACAGATCAAAGTCGGAATCAGTATGTACCTTTTTTCAGTAGGTTTTTTCTATCTGAACTTGTTGGAAGCGTAGTAGTCATGGTTAAATAGCACAATAGCGCCAGCGTAAATTTTCGATATCGATAAGCGCGCGTCACAACCGTCACGGACAACACTCGACGTCAGACAAATACGGGGAGGCGGGCGGAGGCGGGGCGAGCTGTCCCCGCGCGTCCCCGCGCGTCGCCTCTGGCCCCGATGGACATGAACTCGCGCGCGTACAGTATGTATGCTAGTATGTAACGGAATCTTTGAACATGATTTTGACCCCCTTCAAAACGTCGGATTAACTCGAAATTTGGTATACTTATTAAGGACCGATGACAATTCAACAGTTAAAAAAGTTGAAATTCAACTAAACAATGAAAAATAAATAATAGTTTGAAAAAACTAACAAAATACGCTTTTATAGAAAATCCCACTAAAAAATAGAAAATAAATCTTAATAAATTTGAATAAAAAATTAGGGTGCTTTTCAGGATATTATCAAAATAACCCTTCTACTCATATAGAATATTTATAACTACTGTTACGGTAGGCAGCGTAACTGCTCTGCCCCTGGCATTGCTGAAGTCCATGGGCGACGGTAACCACGCACCACCACGGTAGACAAAAGCCTCCAATCGAGGCCTTTAAAAGAGTCCTTAACTTAGCCACTTGGCACTATTGATAATCACGAGCAATAGCGACCAATAACCGTGAGCTGCTCCGTATTGTCAACTACCGTCACACGCGCGTCTAGTTAAACTGGTTATCTGTCGATAGCTGGTTGTTTCCTGTACCGCGCTTGGGAGTCTCTGCTGATAGGATTCATTGGTGCCGGCGTGGCTTCGGCGAGCTCTATGCTATTCGACAGACTCCGGGTCGACGACCCCGTGGGAGCTTCGGCTGTCCACGGCGCTTGCGGAATCTGGGGTGAGGGACTGGTCACTGGTTTCACTGAATTAGATGGAGGGAGGGAGGTAGATGGAGGTTTTACTGGTGGTAGGACCTCTTATGAGTCCCCACGGGTAGGTACCACCGCCCGGCCTATTTCTGCCGTGAAGCAGTAATGCGTTTGAGTTTGAAGGGTGGGGCAGCCGTTGTAACTATACTGAGATCTTAGAACTTATATCTCAAGGTGTGTGGCGCTTTTACGTTATAGATGTCTATGGGCTCCAGGAACCACTTAACACCAGGTGGGCTGTGAGCTCGTCCACACATCTAAGCAAAAAAAAAGGGACTGTACTTGGAAACACTAAATCGCAAGGGATTTAATGAAAAAGGGGAGGAAATGTCTATGGTTTGTAAACGCTTACACGGGTCGCCACGTCCTATTGTGGTAGATCAGTCAGTGTATCCATTCAAGACCTTGACTAAAGATGACATTACGTGACGCTTTTCACCAGACGGCAGGCAACCCTAGCTGTCGGCAATAAGGAAGTACAATAAGGGTCCTTTTGGCGGGAAGGCGAGGAGCGAAATTGTTTGAATTGTTTTCTTTGTTATGTTGGCACCGTTGCGATGAGATGTTGGATGCAAGGCTTATCCGAATAAAGGTGAACTGTATTTATAACTGGTTTAATAAATCCGAATAATAAACCAGCTTTAAATACAGTCCACTTTTATTGAATAAGACTTGCACCCAACATCTCATCGCAACGGCGCCAACAATTCAATTAGTGTTTTTTTTTTCAGTTTTAAGCGTGTAATAGCATTGGTTTATTAACTGTTCCGCATCTGTGAGTGTACAAACGCGGGAAAATTAAACAGTGATGGCTCTTTTGGGGTTTTTCCATTTTCCAAAAGGCAACGGAAAAGTCTTACATTTACTAAACCAGCATTTTACCACAACTTAAATTCCTCCCTTCTCATCTCGTTTTTTTTATTAAAGGCTCAAATCAATTAGGGGGCGTCCATAAATTACGTGAGATGTTTAAGGGGGGGAGGAGGTCGAGTCAAATCTCATCTAATCTTACGTTGGAGAGAGGGGGGGTCTCGGCAAATATCACGCAATTTTTTTCTCGAATTTCTCGGACACTCACGGATTGTCACAAGACGAGCTAATGAGTTACTTTGTGCAAGTGCCAATGGCTTAGAGTGGCTAGATCTGAACGAAGTAGAAGGATCAGATGATTTTACTGAAAATCATATGGACATGTTGGTTCCAATAGTCTCTCTTGAGACCGTGCATGATTTTCCATGGACTGAATTAGAGTAGATATTCTTTTTTTAATCACAGTAGTTACGATTTAAGTATTCTATTGTTAAATTTTTATTACACTTATAATTAAACTCTCAGCAACATTGATTACTAGTCATAACTAGTCGTAAATAAAAGCACGAAGCAAATTTGTTTTTTTCTTTTTACAATAACAATCCAACGCGTTTACGTAAGAAACTTACATTTTGAAAAATCTCACGTGAGATTGGGAAATGGGGAGGGGGTTGAATAAAATCTCACGACATCTCACCAGGGGGGAGAGAGGGGCAGAAAATTTAAAAAAACACCTCACGTAATTTATGGACGCCCCCTTACTTTCCCCTTATAACACTTTATTTCATTGTTCACAAAACAGAATATGTATGTTTTTATAGTTTTTATTTATTTTATAAACTAGACACTCTCAACAAATGGTGTCGCAAGAAGCCCAAATTAAACCAAGAAAATATACAATAAGCTTCGATTTTCCAGGAGTCATAGCAGTTGGTCTATTTGCCGACAACCCTATACCGATGGAGACGACAAACGGGAGATCCGGCTTGTTCAAAGGTAATATCGCTTCCATATTGTGTAATCGAATTAGCCGTAGATACCAAGTGGTAGAAGAAAGTCCGTAGACAGCAGCACATTGTCATCAATTTGACGGTAGAAGAATATACAAACGTATGAATTGTTTTTTTTTATTTTACCCCCCTGGTGTTAAGTGGTTACTGAAGCCCATAGACATCTACAACGTAAATGCCGCCATCCACCTTGAGATATGAGTTCTAAGGTCTCAGTTTTTACAGTACAGTAGTACAGTAACAATAAGTTGATGACTAAGTTGGGCACAAAATCAGAACTTGTCCCTGATCACTGATCTAGTGCAGGGTTGGCCACTCCTCAGTTACGGCTCTTCCGCGAAATGTTTAGTTCGAATTATTACTTATTATCTTAGCTCGTAAGATACGAGTAAGCATTTGCAAAACACAAGGCCATAACAGTATATGTTAAAAGTGGATCTTTGAATAAATTACTATTGTGTTATCTATATTTGTCTCTTTTCATAGACAAGGCTACCGATCACTAGGTCTAGTTCAGTATTACGCCAGACAGACTAAATTGAAAATGATGAAGTAAAGACCAGGACATATTTTTTTGGGGCTGGGGTCGAGCCTCCATCGTGGTCCTCACGCAGCCCCTCCGTGTATACTGCCATGATGGTAAAGCCACTTATTAAATGACTCCCCTGTACTCCCGCCCAAGACAGAACCCGGGAGAAGTAGTAGTTATCGCGGTCAAAGACGCTCTACTAATGGAAGAGTCTACATCAGCCCACTGTATGCGACGCATGGACAACACGCGTACCAAGCAATCATTGTTTTAATAAACATAACTGCCCCAGGTGGCGGCTGGTACCTCCTGGGAGTGCAGAGCCTCACCGCCGTGTGCCTGGCCGCGTGGGGCGTGCTGGTCACCATGCTGTTACTGTGGCTCATAGACAGGGTCATGCCTATACGAATGGACCCTTACAATGAGTTGCTTGGGGCCGACCTTACTGAGCACAGGATCAGGCATGGACAGGTAATATATTTCCTTGTCATCATCACGTTTTCTTGCAAAACTTAGCTAGCGACCCGCTTAAAGCTCGAAGGTCATACGGCCATCGTGGAAATAATTACTATGTCACACTCTAAGCCGGGAGGCAATCTTCAGCAGACGGCAACAAACTAATGATAAAATATAAGGTTTCTTATTGTTGCTAAGAACAAGCTCACGAACGAGCTCACGGCCCACCTGGTGTTAAGTGGTCACCGGAGCCCGTAAAAGCCCTACCACCAGTGATTACGCAAAACATATATACCTACTTAATTTATGCTACTTTGATTTTTATTACACGATGTTATTCCTTCACCGTGGAAATACAACATTAGTTATCGCATTAAAAAAATCTGTAGCCGCCTGCGGGATTCGAACATCGGCAAAGTCGCACAATACGAACGTACTGGACGTCTTATCGCTTAGGCCGCGACGACTTCAGTGATATCCTGAAGAGTCTCCTAACGAGTATCACTATCACTACATAGTATAAGACAAAGTCGCTTTCTCTGTCCCTATATGTATGCTTAAATCTTTAAAACTACGCACCGAATTTTGATGCGGTTTTTTTTAATAGATAGAGTGATTGAAGAGGAAGGTGTATATTTATGATAACATCCATTAAATAGTGGAGATATCAATAGTAAATTACAGTTTCCGAAACGAAGCGAGGCCGGGTCGCTAGTAGTACTATAAATTCAAGCTACGCAAAATTTCACCTTCATCACCCGGGACTCAAGTTCTGTAACTCCACGAGCGCTGTGCTATAACTATCCCGATCCGTTAACGGTGCTTTTCTAGCACCGGTTACTTCAAGCACCGGTCCTCGCCGAACCCGTCGCTTGCGACGAAGGGCTCCACGAGCAAATTAACCCACAGACACAGCCCACTGAGTTTCTCGTCGGATCTTCTCAGTGGGTCGCGTTTCCGATCCGGTGGTAGATTTTGTGAAGCACTGCTCTTGCTAGGGTCAATGTTAGCAACACTCCGGTTTGAGCCCCGAGAGCTCATCTACACGTTAGGGTAACGCTGATATAGGCTCTCAAGGCTATTAAGGTAGGAAAAAGAAGCCATAACTACTAGTCCATGATCAGGTGGGAGTGTCTCGCGCTGTGTCAGCCCTGAGGCCGTTCCGCCGCTCAAGCAGCATGGAGGAAATCGGGACTATCGGCATCAACACCGGACACGGTCTGGTCGTCGAAAAAATCCTCAAGGTATACGCGCGTTACCAACTTATTTACTTTTACTTTTATTGTATAGAAGGATCGAGAACTACTTTTTGTCTACTCTGAGAACATTTGACATTTGAAAGAAAAATCCTCAATCGATCTATAGCAGATCTAAAAGTCATTTGATTGCGATCCGGGAACCACTTGGCACCGGTGTGCTGCGTCCGTTGGCCTGCGAATATCACTTTCAAACGTGTTATTGGATTAGGAAAACATTTGCCAGATTACGTGGATAGATGATGGATAGAGGATACGTGATCAGTATCTTAATCGAATCTGCCTAGGATTTCTCAAGACTTACCCTTTGTCGTTGACAAAACAAAAATAATCTATTTATTATAAAGAATAATCTATTTAAATAATTCACAAAAGCGTCTTTTATTTATTTATTTTTATTGCTTAGATGGGTGGACGACCTAACAGCCCACCTGATGTTAAGTGGTTACTGGAGCCCATAGACATCTACAACGTAAATGCGTCAGCCACCTTGAGATATAAATTCTAAGGTCTCAAGTATAGTTACGTCTCTAGTAAGGGCGCTATCAAAATGGCATAGGTACAAAAACAGGTTAATTGGAGAACCGAAGTTTCCCTAATATGACTTCCCAGCATGGGCAAATTCGCCTCTGATCATTCATAAGGCTATTTCCAGTTTATTTCATTCGACATTTTTTTGCTTAAATGGGTGGACCAGCTCGCGACCACCTAGTGTTAAGTGGTTACCGTGGCCCATAGACATCTACAACGTAAACCCACCACCCACCTTGAGATATCTATGGTCTCAGTTTAGTTACAACGGCTATCCGACCCTTCAAACCGAAACGCATTACTGCTACACGGCAGAAATAAGCCCATAATACCCATATAAGCAATAATAAAAAAGATCTCATTAAATGTCACACAAAGCATTGAAACGCGTTCGCTCACAGGCGAACAAACGTAACGAGCTGGATGGGAAGCCGCAAACCTACACGAACGAAGCGTTCGTCGCCACAGACAGCGCCTCAACGTCGTACAAAAACAACGGACTCCTGAACAAGCGTCCCAATGGCAACGGAGACCAACTCCACCGGACTCTAGACTCTATGATCGATGAGATTAATGGCGGGAAACGCGAAACGTCAAAAGGCGCGCGAAAAAATAATGGCGCCCCGGTGATACCAGACGAGATAAAAGGGAAAAAATTTAGGGAGTTAACCGTGACCGAACTGGACGAGTTGGGCGAGATTAATGCCGCCCAGGATAGGTTTCGGCGGAGATTTAACGAGGAGGATTACAAGAGTGACGTCATGAGGAGTGCAACGATAACTCCTAATGTACGGTGGATTGATTGAAATTTCTATTTAAGTATACTAGTGGTCCCCCAGTAATCGAAATTCGACTATAATTAATTGAAATTATAAGTTTTTGCACTATTATGATTCTATTGTCAAATACTTTTATAATCACAGATTTAGACAAATATTAATAAAGATAAGACATATTAATAAATTTGAACATTATTATGGTTCTATTATCAAAGACTATTATACATCTATAATGACAGAATTCGCGAAGACTACAATATAGACATTCCCAATTTGACCACAGACTTTAAGCAATAACAAAAGTTTGACGACAAACAAAGAGTATATATGCGTTGTGTCAAATACATGGTAGTGTGTGTAATATATTTTTTATGCCTAATTAAAAAAATATAAACATTCTGCACCCCTTCTCTGTATTCTCTATAAGTGTGGAAAATGTCATACTCCTCCGTCCGCACGATTATCGTAAAAAGGGGTACAAAGTTTTTGCTTCACGTATTAATATATAGATATTGTTGGCGAGGAAGAGGAGGCAAGCAGTGGTGTACAGACGAAATGAATATTTTATTTTTCCTTCCAAAGTATATTTGAAATAACGGCCGCGCGGCCGTGACAATATACAGGTACACAGGTGTTGTTCGTAAGGTTGCTGCGAGAGAAGTGTCGGTGCGGGTGCAGTAGTGCTCGTTGACCGATTTCTTTTTTTGGTAGTTTTTGTGCGTATAGACAGATATTTAAACTCCATTCCTCATTAGTGTGCTTAGTGCGTGTTTTCGTTATCGAGATCGTAAAAGTTGTTTGCCTACGTTTGCCGCTAGGGGCGCTGTTCCAACTCAACAAATCTGAGTTGTACAAATCTGAGTTCACTTTTACGCTAGCGAGAACGTTAAACAACTCTCACTAAGCACACAGAATATTTGTAACTTTATCGCAAGGCTTCACGTGTAGAGCGTCTTATGAGCCCTCACGGTTAGGACCTACTACCATCCTCCCCACTTCTGCCGCGGAGAAATCAAGATGCAGAGGATCATTAAAAACTGAGACCTCATGCCTCAAGGTCACAATACGCACCACTACCACCAGACGGTTCGGTCGTGGGCTCGTTCAGCCTACACAATAAATGGAATGTTCTCGCAGAAATTTGGCGGGTTTTTTTTCATAGTACAGTAAGTAGGTAGGTAGTAGGGTGTGTCGTACCCAGCTCGCTTTCAAACACAGTGTGCATAGCAGCAGTTATTGGCAACCCAACAAATTGGTATAAAACCTATATATAAAACCTTTTTTATTGTTGTGGTTGTGGTTTTGACGTTAATTTTGAATTTTAAAATGTCTTAAGATTTGTCATTCTCTTTTTTTTCGTGCTATTTATTGTACGCGAATTATAAAATTTCCAAAATAAAAAAAATTATACGTGCAATCCTCGCGAGTTTATTTATAAAGTTCCTTGCTCGTCCTAATCCTACAGTCCACAATAGCAGCAAGTTCTTAATTTGTAGCAAATCTATATATTAATACGTGAAGCAAAAACTTTGTATCCGTTTTTACGAAAATTGCGCGGACGGAGGAGTATGAAACTTTCCACACTTATAGAGAATATAGAGAAGAAGTTCACAATGCTAATATTTTTTTTAAATAATGCATAAAAGATACATTAAATCAATAAAGAAAACAATACACACACTACATACCATGTATTCGACGCACACACGCATGCATACTATTTATTGTCAAAATTTTGTTTCTGACGTCTGTTGTCAAATTGAGAATAGATTAAATATTGTTTGTCTTTATTAATATTTTTTTATAGTGTAGACTTGGCGAAATTTGTGATTGTAGTATGTGTACAAACTTAAAATTCCAATTAATTATAGTCGAATTTCGACTACTGTGGGACCTTTAGTTTTATATAATTAAATGAATAACCAACCAAATAAAATGTACTTAGAATTATTTCTATGGCATACAAACTAATTCCAAAAAATATACATATTTGCGTTTCATTTCACGCAAACCTTATTTCGCTTTGGTTTCAAACATATGACGTAATTCAATATCACAATTACTTTAAAAAATATATTATATAGGCAGTCATAGCAGATAGAAGTGAAAACTTTTAACTTAGAATTTTAGTATTAAAGGACAATGCCCAAAAGTGGGCCAACTTTATGTCAAAACTATTTGTACTTGAAAAACTATGCCTTATTTACTATGCTTTATTTATTTATTTAAGGATTACCGGCAGGGTTTACAGTAAGACATAAAATAACATTGACATATATAGAGCAATTGATAACTGCAACTCTAATCAGAGGCAATCACAGCATGCATTACATTAATATATCAATAGAGATTTAACAATACTATTAATAATAATAAAAAATTAAAAACAAAAGAAAGACATTAAGGACAGTAATACCCGAGTACTCAGACCAAGGCTGAGGCTGAGGTTCAACAACAACTTTTTATAATTTTGTTCCTGAATATTGGAAGGGAATCGCCAAATATGTCAAGGTTTTCAGCTTTTCTGACTAGATTATTATAAAGGTTAGTTAGACGAGGAGTAAGTGAGTGCTTGCCTAGATTGGTTCTGCAAAAGCGGGTGCTGAAAAGAGCAACGGGGCGACGAGGTATTATGAGGAATAAATAATAAAGGAATAAATAATAATAATAAAATGTACGTAAGGGCTTATTTCTAGCAACATTAACCACAATTAACTTATTTAATACTGCAAATAATGATGAGAGCGATTATTGATTTCGAAGAAAACAAATAACAACTTAATTTTAGCTGCAGAAAAAAACGGATTTCTCTTAAACCTGGGTGAGAATATAAAAATCGTTTTCTGAATATGAAACGATATTTCTTTGTCTATCAAATTAAGTTAAAACCATCATGACAGGACAACTTTTTTAGGGGCCCAAACGCCCTTAGAAAATGGGCATTGTCCTTTGAAATTTCATAGTGTTTAAATTAAAATTATCAACATCTAGTTTTTCACATCTATTGACACATCAAAAAACAATTATATACAAATGTTTTGAACATGTACATACATATCGACGCTTGAAAGGCAATGTGTGAACTTTACAGTTGACTAATTTAAAGTTGAAATACATGTAAAACAAGATTTATTTAAACGAATCTAGCTGTAGTAGAATCTAGCTAGTAGCTGTAGGATTGAAATGATTTTAATAGACCTAGAAATATATATTTTTTACGCATCGATAATGATTATTGCCTATCGTTTATGTACAAAGCAGTTATTGTCGCTTAGTCACTTTTTCCTTTCAAGCGTCGATATATGTTTGAGAAGCTAGCGGATTTTTGACCAGTCTTGATTGGTCCCTGGTCTCCGCTGCTTCTACACGACAACATGCGGCACAACAGACGCCGTGAAGCAGTAATTCGTTTCGGTTTGAAGGGCGGGACAACCGTTGTAACTATACTGAGACCTTAGAACTTATATGTGAAGGTGGGCGGCGCATTTACGTTGTATGTTGTCTATGGGCTCCAGTAACCACTTAACACCAGGTGGGCTGTGAGCTCGTCCACCCAACTAAGCAATAAAAAATTATTAAAAATAGCTGCACAGATAATGAAAGGCATTAAGGAATATAAATTTAGTACATTTACTGGTGGTAGGACCTTATGTGGGTCCGCACGGGTAGGTACCACCATCCTGCCTATTGCTGCCGTGAAGCAGTAATGCGTTTCGGTTTGACGGATGGGGCAGCCGTTGCGCCACCCAGCTTGAGATGTAAGTTCTAAGTTCTGTTTAGTTACAAGGACTACCCAACCCTTCAAACCGAAACGCATTACTGCTTCACGGCAGAAATAGGCCGGGTTGTGGTTCCTACCCGTGCGGACTCACAAGAGGTCATATAACCAGTAAAAAATTTAATTATTAAAAAAATTTAATTAACTAAAATCGACCTTATGCGAACGTGATAGGACTCACGTATTCTATCACACGACTGAATTGCTGTACCAGTGGCAGATCTCGGTGGGTAGACTCCTGAAGGTGTCGACGGCTCGTCCCAGGTCCTCGGCGGGCACGGCCAGCGTGTACAGCTTGTATTCCTTCTGCACGCGGCTGGAGGAGGCGTCGCCCGCCGCGCCCCCGACATCCGACGTTCTGGCCGGCAGCACGATCTCCAGCGCCTGCAGGTGCTCGAACGCCTTGAGGATGACGGGGCGCGGCACGCTCTGCGACGAGGAGTGTTCATTCGCGAATTTCGTGTACCTGCGAATATTTTTTTTATGGCAACATTTTTTTTCCGTACACTATGGACGACTATTTGGCGGAAACGCGTTAAGATATATGAATCTTTTTGCTTCGTTAATTTAGTGTTTCTTAATCGTTGCGTTGTAGTAATTGAGAGTGGACTATATTTACATATCTATTTTGATATCTTTATTAGAGCATAAGGGACAAACTAAAGATTATATGAATGTATGAAATAAGAAATCGACGTGTCGCCCTTGGCGGCTGGAATTGGAAAGGGTAACACGTCATAGCGGACGTCGCTCGTTGACACCTTTGACGTTCCGAATTCAAACATTAATGGCCGTTTTCCAATTACAGCACAAGAGCGCATTATGCGGCATAATGCTTAACTAAGCTTCAGCATAATTCGGCATTGTGCGTCACTGAGTCGCATTATGCTCTGTAATTGGAACGCTACCATTAAGTAATGGTTAATTACAGAACATAATGAGAACTCAGTGACGCACAATGCCGAATTATGCTGAAGCTTAGTTGAGCATTATGCCGCATANTCTGTAATTGGAAAACTACCATTAAGTAATGGTTAATTGGAAAACTACCATTAAGTAATGGTTAATTACAGAGCATAATGCGACTCAGTGACGCACAATGCCGAATTATGCCGAAGCTTAGTTGAGCATTATGCCGCATAATGCGCTCTTGTGCTGTAATTGGAAAACGGCCAATATAAACTTCCTAATTGAGAAAATCTTTTTTTTTTATCAAAACCCACCTATTTATGAATCGTTCTGTATTGTTAATTTAGTGTTCCTTCTTAAAAGCTTCCCGATTGAGAATACATATATTTTTGATAATAAGCCTCTGTTTTTTCTCACTTAATTGATTGATTTCTCAACCCAAGGTGGGTTAAGAAAAAGCGTTTTACTTTGAAGTGTTTACGGGCAGTATTTATATCTATACTAATATATAAATCTACAGTGGTCTTTACGGATGTTCCGTTATAACTACTGTACCGGGCATCCGATTGACTTGAAACTTGGTATCCATGTAGAAAATACATGTACTTAATGGATAGGCTAATATTTATATGAGTGTTGGACTCCCTACACCAGTTGCGGGGGCGTTAATGAAGAGAATCTTTGTGGGGGTGAGAAATAATAACGTTAATTTTAAATGCCCAGCGAAGCGGACGAGTACAGCTAGTAACATATGAATATGAAAATCTAACCTGTGTAGGATCATTTCAAAATTCATTGGTTGCCCGTCGAATATCTCCATCCCGTGCTTCATGGCTATCACCAGAGACAACTCTAGTATAGACAGCGACTGCAACACTTTGACTCTGTGCTCCGGAGCCACTGCGTTGTCTATGGCCGTTGTTAGATCTGTGACGTTTATATTCGGTTTCGTCGGAGACAGTTTACTGATTATTTCAAACTGAAAATTCAATTTACACAATTAATGTCACTGACTGATGGTAGGAGCTCTTGTGAGACCGCGCGGGTAGGTACCACCACCCTGACTATTTCTGCCGTGAAGCAGTAATGCCTTTCTGTTTGAAGGGCGGGGCAGCCGTTGTAACTATACTGAGACCTTACAACTTATATCTCAAGGTGTGTGGCGCAGTGACGTTGTAGATGTCTATGGGATCCGGTAACCACTTAACACCAGGTAGAGTGTGAGCTCGTCCATCAATCTATGCAATAAAAAAAATTAAAAAAGCATTATTTTTGGTTTCGTTCTATTAGCAGTGTCAATAGCTTAGTACCTATGAAAACATCACATTCCACCCTACCACCTGTATTTACATAAATATTCCAAATATTGTGAATACATGTGTAAACAATCCTGGCCTATCTTGTAGTAAGTGGTTACCGAAGCACACAGGCATCACAACGTGTACGCCATCACCCACCTTGATGCATTAAGTTACTATTCAATCTTCCCACGCTGCAAAGCAGAATGCATGACCACTTTGAAGGGTGGAAGAAGGTAAATATGTACTGTCATAATTCAAGTACACTGCAGGACTAGCCATCAGATACACAAACCATTTCACTAACAAGATCACAATTCTCCAATTAATCAAGGATACCAGTATACAGCAAACAATTTTACTTGAGCTTGTATCGACAAGACATCCCAGATTGAGGCCACGGACCAACTTGTCTTTGTGTTGTTAGAATAATTCTTTGAACTTCCAACAATTAAGTACGGGAAAAAATCTATACTAATATTATAAAGAGGAAAGATTTGTTTGTTTGTTTGTATTGCATAGGCTCCGAAACTACTGAACCGATTTGAAAAATTATTTCACTGTTTGGAATCTACACTATTGCCGAGTGATATAGGCTGTTATCTTTTTTAAAAAAAATTAGGGCTCCTTACTAAAACTCCAATAACCAACCCAAACTGTAACCCAAGGTGTAAAAAAATTACCTAAAATATTCTTTACATCGCGTGCCCTGCGAAAACTATTGATGATAGAATAAAAAAACGTACTACGACATTGTAGAACACATTATTATTTACAAAAAGTGTCGCGACAGCATGTGTCCTAACTATTATAGTTATGCCGCAATAAGTGTTCTTTTATTTAAAAAAATTAAAACGTCAAATATCGTTGAAATTTTTGTTAAAGACTCGAGCGAAGCCGGAGCGGGCCGCTTATATATTGTTCTTGATTGTGAATTTTTTCAGACTGTATTTCCTTTGTGATTTCTTTCTTAGGTGGTTTGTGAAGTCTGCCGTTAAATTATAAAATACTATTCTTACTAATTCTTTACTAATAATTTTTACTTTAATACTAATTCTTTTTGGTTTAATATGAAGTAATATTGTACATAATATTGCGCGTCTTGTAGCTGTTGAGTCCCGTTCAGAAGTGAAGGTGGTCGTGTGTATTGTCCGCGTCGCGGAGCTCGCGGTTCCGTCGGTTTGCCGCCCCCCCCCCCGCGCCGCGCTGCCTGCGTCTCTCCTGACTTTACGAAAGAGGAGTTGATGCGTAAACATATATTATTATAATAAACTTGAAACTTACCAAGACGTTCCTAAAAGTTTGCTCATCAACGGTATAGTAACATAGCTTCTCTAAAGCGTCAATGACTTTTTCGTTTTCTATCAAACTTCTGATATGAGCGTTCCAGTCGCTCACAAAGGCTTGGTCCATCGTAGACAAACATTGCTCGTCGAGTTTCCCTTTTAGTATATGTTCTGGTATTGCAAAGACTGTGGATGAGCAGGCCGTTTCATCAGTTTTGACTGAAAAAAATGTTACTAAATCAATTTATCTATCGATACATCAAGCATTGAACATCCACTGCTGGACATAGACCTCCTTTAAGAATATTTATATTGCTACAGAATAATTTAAAATATTAATGAAATCGTATTGTATCAAACAAAAGTGACTAGACCTGTGAAATTTGTTTGTCTCATTCATAAATTCATTCGCTCGTTCATTAATTTTACAGTCGTCGTGGCCTAAAGGATAAGACGTCCGGTGCATTCGTATCGAGCGATGCACCGGTGTTCGAATCTCAGGCGGGTACCAATTTTTCTAATGAAATACGTACTCAACAAATGTTCTCGATCGACTTCCACGGTGAAGAGTGAAGGAATAACATCGTGCAATAAAAATTAAAGCCGCAAAATTATAATTTGCGTAATTACTGGTGGTAGGACTCCTTGTGGGTCCGCGCGAGTAGGTAGCACCGCCCTGCCTATTTCTGCCGTGAAGCAGTAATGCGTTTCGGTTTGAAGGGCGGAGCAGCTGTTGTAACTAAACTTGAGACCTTAGAACTTATATCTCAAGGTGGGTGGCGCATTTACATCGTAGATGTATATGGGCTCCAATAACCACTTAACACCAGGAGGGCTCTGAGCTCGTCCACCCAAATAAACAATAAAAAAATAAAAAGTCATTATTAATCATTATTATTATTATTAATTAATTCATCTTTCCTTCTATACAGAAAAAAAAAAACTAGGTATCTAATAACAATGTGTAAGCAAAACTTATTATCTACTTTACAAATATTAGATTTCCGGCCACTGCTTCTCCGGCGACAAAGCATGAGGCGGCATGTGCGGACACGCATTCAATGCAGTGGGATGAAATATAATCTAGTATAGAATATCACGTAAGCAATTATATTAGCTCACCGATGGACTTCCTTGATTTTCTTTTCTTCCTCGGCGACACAGAACCCTCCAGGGGCAGACTCAGCAATTCCACAAACAATCTCTTTCTCCCTTCCAGAGGCGAGATAATATCATACCGGTCATCATCATTGACTTCATTAGGAAATATGAATATGTGACGATGGGAAAAACGGGATTTGACCCTTTTTTCAAACAACTCCATAATGTCTAAGCGATTTGTTACACCTGTGCACAGTAAGGAAGCATGATATTTAATGAAATGAAGATTTAACATCTTCGAGCAAGGATTTCTCCTGTGTTAATGGTAATGGAAAGACACATAGAAACAAGTAGGCATCAAATACCAAATATATTTAAGACTAGCTAGGCATTATTATTATTTCTCACCCCCAGAAAGATTCTCGTCATTAACGCCCCCGCAACTGGTGTAGGAAGTTTTTTTTATTTTTTTTATTTATTGCTTAGATGGGTGGACGAGCTCACAGCCACCTGGTGTTAAGTGGTTACTGGAGCCCATAGACGTCTATAACGTAAATGCGCCACCCACCTTGAGATAAGTTCTAAGGTCTCAGTATAGTTACAACGGCTGCCCCACCCTTCAAACCGAAACGCATTACTGCTTCACGGCAGAAATAGGCAGGGTGGTGGTACCTACCCGTGCGGACTCACAAGAGGTCCTACCACCAGTAAGTCCAACACTCATATAAATATTAGCCTATCCATTAAGTACATGTATTTTCTACATGGATACCAATTTTCATGTCAATCGAACGCATGGTTCAGTAGTTATAATGGAACATCCGTAAAAACCACTGTAGATTTATATATTAGTATAGATGTGTGATAGTATGAAGTGAAGATACATTATTAATTTTAAAACGTGACAAGCAGATTAAGTCGCATTTTAATGCCTATGATGGATAACCTACACAACATGTATTAAAGGATAAGCAAGGACTGTAGCAATGTTAATGCCATCACCACAGTGATGCCAAAGGCCAGTCTCAATCGTATATTATAACATATTCTGAGAAAAACAACAAAAACAATCTCAGCGAACTTACCGATAACACACATAGNATTTTAAAACGTGACAAGCAGATTAAGTCGCATTTTAATGCCTATGATGGATAACCTACACAACATGTATTAAAGGATAAGCAAGGACTGTAGCAATGTTAATGCCATCACCACAGTGATGCCAAAGGCCAGTCTCAATCGTATATTATAACATATTCTGAGAAAAACAACAAAAACAATCTCAGCGAACTTACCGATAACACACATAGGAGCCGTCTGTGAATGAGTTACGTCAAATAAGTTATACAGTAATGTCTGGGAGATACCGCTGTGGCAAAACATGTCACACTGGTCTAGAATGAATACCATGCTTCGACATCGTCTGTCAACACCAGTCTGGATGCAGCTTAACAAAAACGAGAGGTTCTCGGCAAAGGTACCGAAAACTCGTTCACCCACAGTATTTTCTAATTGCATCTGTAAAGAATAGTGTAGGTGAGTCCATCTTAGTTGGTGAGGCTTCAATTTAATTCAGATTAGTTAAGCCTGCCTTTAATTATACTGTGGTTAAGACACCAGTAGTCAAGCTTCAAAAGTGGCCAAGGTTTTGCCATTGTGTTGTCCCCCTACCAAGACCTTGGCTACAGATTTTTTTCTCATATCCAATGCATTAGTGAAGAGTCAACCACCATGTTTATCATATTATTACAGTCTAGTCCAGTGTTTCCCAACCTTTTTTGTGCCATGCCCCACTGTAACATTTTTAAATTTTTTATGCCCCCCATACATAATTTTAGCATAATAAAATAATTTCAATACAATTTTCTTTATTGATTTAATGCAATTGCCCTTCTTAATTATCAAATTGCCAACTTGTAGGCTATGGGCACCACGTTGGGAAACACTGGTCTAGTCTATTACACACAATGGTCTTTAGTTAAGTACAATTCACTATCCTATTCAGAACAAAATATAATAGAAAAACCTTTCCTGCTATACAGGAATACAATTGAACAAACATTAATAGAATTCTTTTTGACATTTTTATTAGATTCATAAAAAGGTCTCAATCACCTGCGCTGTGATAGCTTTAAGGGCCAGTTTATCATCACTATGTACAAGGCCATTCAGTTGAATTATAATAGCATCATTCTCCAAATCTGTCTCTCTAGAGAGCTGGTGAAGTACCGAGTTTAGTAGCTGAAATGAAATGTTTTACCATTATTGAAAGGTCACAACAGATAACATTTTCTGTACAGAGGCCCTTGCTTCACCTTATATTAAATTGTAACTAGAAAGTGAGAGAGAGAGAATATACTTTATATGCACACCAAAACACAATTAACAATAGAAAACAGTCAACAAGCAGATCCATTTGTACAAATCTTATCATCTCATCATCAAGAGATCTCTTCCAGACAGCCACTTAACTATACAGAAATTCTGGAAAAGATAAAGATATAGCAGGTATGTTGCTATGTACTACTAGCAATACATTATTAAAGAAAATATAAAGAAAATAATAAAAGTGATGGGATCTGAACAAAAATATCATTCATGGGTCAGGTAGAATTCAGAATTGTATTGTTTGACAATCATCCTAGCTTCCACGCTGGAATGCACTGCTACTTCATAAAAAATAGGCAGAATCCAACATACCTACCCAAATAGACTGACAGTAAACCATACCACTCTTAAATCTTGCTGCATTATATATACCTATCTATCACATATGTATCTGTCACATGAAGAGCTGAGAGCGGCCACAATCACCTATATTGTGCTAAGCTGGTGGACATAAAACAATTTAAAAATATTGTAAATTAAATCAGCGAATTGTATATTGGAGCACATGAACTTACAGTGGTTTTTCCGCTACTTCTCGGCCCTATAAGTAAAGCCGAATGCGATTCTCCTTGTAAAACAGTTCTTCTTAATAATTCGTACACATGATTTCTTTCCTGGTCGTGCCCCCGAAACAATACATTGTCTTCTATTAATTTCAATTTTATGTACTTCCTTACAAGTTTTATTTGAATAGCCAACGGGTCTGTATCCATTGATCCACGCATTTTCTTAGACAATGGTATTTATGATTGTTTTGTGAAGTGTTTTAGTTTTATACTTTGAAGCATAAATTTATTTATAAATTTAATGAGTTCAAAACAGTTCATTTCATTTTCTTTTGTAATGGCGGTCCTTTTTGATTTCGCCAAAGTCAAGTTTTATAGTCTGTGGTTTTGATTATGCTCAGCTGATGTCTTTTGGTGAAGTTTGGATTCTTTTTTGTTGGGTGGGCTTCGTGATTGCACAAGGTCACATCAATTTTAATTATTATTATTTTACAAAGTAATCAACTGTTGAATTACTAACCTAAAACAGGACAAACAATATATGTATATATACATATACATACATATATATATATATGTTACAGAAAAGATTGTCAGAAGATTAGTAAGGACAAACAACTTATAGTCTAATGTTATTCTGGTGAACATATTCACATAAAATATTTACAAAAGTTGTATGTACAAGGCTCAACAAAGATTTGAAATTCGTCGGTCTGGGGATAATGTCCGGTAGAACTTCGTAAAGGGAAGGTCTTCTAGGGCAGTTAAAGAAAAACAGTTCAAAACGAAATTTTCGCGGCATAAAATGTCATCCCAAGAAACATCAAACAGTTGACACTGTCAATTAGAGATGTCCTTCAATAATTACCATAGATTATACACTTAATATATTTAAGATTACTGTTTGTTCACCATAGTCTACTAAGTATTATGGAGGTAAAGATATTTCTACCCTCCATACTAAGTATGTCAACTACACATTTTGAGATTAAATCGTATTCACCCGTTTTATCTACTTTGCCCCTAGTTTATAAATGTACATAAAACTGAGTTTACAAGTAAATATGGCTTTGATGATGTATCGAAAAGAAATTTTGAAAATAAATTGGCATGTTTCGTTCTGTTCAAATGAAATAGGTAATAGCGTCAATTTTAAGTCTTGTACGTTGCAAGTACTCAATGACTCTTTTAAATGAAAGAAAAGTGTTTGTTACTCAGGAGTGTGCATGTTAATTTTTAAAGTAGATGATACTTCTTAAAATGTCTATGGCATGAAAGTAAAAGAGCGCATGCTCGTGAAATCTAATCAATAGACTAAATGAAACATATGATAACAAGAAAGTCGAGATATAACTCCGAATTTCTTCTAACAAATAGTTACGTTCTTAGTTCACACCCGTATGAATTAAAAAATTATAACGTGAAATATTTATTGAACTTAAGTATTTAAGCCCTTTATAGTAGTTACAAGTATTCTCCATATGAATATAGGAGAACGTGTGAACTTGAACCGATCAAAGAAATATTTGTATTCATATCCCTGGATTTAATTCTCGTGTACATTGCCTAAAACTTTGTATTGTCCCGTTCTCGCATTTTGACGATTTCTAAAAATAAATCTTTAGTCCTCGTCATGACCTTAAATTCCACGGTTTTTCTGTACCCGTTCATATTATTGAAAATTGGGACACTCCGGAAATTAATTCAATTTGTTTCTTAAGAAGTTGATCGTAAAAAATTATACTTAAAAAGTGAACAAACCAAAGTTTTTCAAAATTTTATTTTATATTCGTTCATTTATTTACTATAAAAATTGCACCGTGGATTGTAGCTGAACACCCAACCATTGTTGAAAAAAGTGAAAATATTTTCGAAAAACAATGTGAATATCAGTATTATAGATGCAGCGTCGTGTGTTTTCCGAAATGAGAGTTTTTAATTAGTGCAGCAGGTTTCAACCAATTAAATTCATTTAGCAAATTCGCACAAGACACGAGCCCTAAATAATCACAATGTAATTTGTATTATAAATTTTTATGTTATAGTGCAGCAGCAGTTTGGCACAGCTTTGAATTTTATAAAAAAAGAAGTACCTAAATAGAGGAAGTCAATATTGCTTTAAGCTTAAAAATTGTAAGTTATAGTATTTAAGCTTAGCGCCAGAATCATTAATATGATTACATTTTCATCATAGCACCAAAATATGCACAAAGTTTACCTTCAGACATGAATTCTCATACCCGCATTCATTCAAGGCCACTATTCAAAGTCAATGCCGCAATTTCACAGCAAACCGGTGTTTAGTGAATCGATACGTTACTCTTTTAGCTTAATACAATTGATGTCACACTCAGATCAGTAAGTGAAATAGTACTAAATTATTAGGAAATTTAGCTATTGGACAACACTATCGATCCAAACTTAGAAAATATTTTGAAGATGGTTTGAGGCACGCAATGAACAGATATTTGTGTATCTACCTGTTCAGAGATAGTTTTTTGATTTAACTGACGATATATTTTTCTTTGTCTTTCTTGATGTTGATTCATAGATGATCCAAGAGACACAAAATAAGTGTCATTTGTATAGATTTTATTCACAAAGAACTTCAGTTTAGAGAGCCATATCACGATGGTCTTTTAAAAAGAGTTTTACAAAAAAGTCGTGTTTGTTGATCGATTGTATTAAATTAAAAGATTTGAAACTTAGAAACACAGATCACTGCTTTGTCGTGTGTGCCGATTTTCAAGCTCCTGTACTAATTAATTATTCAGCCAGGATATTTTCAGTTTTCTATTTCAAAGTAAGTATAGCAGATAGGTGCCGTATTATTTCAATTTTCATTATGTTGTAAGATTACAACACCGTTGTTAAGCATAGCATTGGCAGGTCTGAATTGTTTACAACAGTTTGTTTTCAAAATAAACTTGTTTGGGACCACAAACATTGATAACAAACAGCCATAAGATACAATGTAAAACAAAATAATATTAAATTATAAAAGTTTATGTTGCAGTCGAGACTATGTTATGTGCAGATTAATTAAAATTATGAATCATCCACAAGCCAATAACGCATTGTTCCATTTAATTTACAGGCAAGTATGTAGGCTAGAATATTAACTTTTATAATTTGTAACTCCTGTTTTATGTATTGTATTATGACTGTTTGTTTTCCATGCATAAAAGTCCACACACAACATTCTTACTATTGTGATACATATGAGACTAATAAATAAAACTAACAATTTATGGATTCACTACACAGGTCCATTGTGTTACTGGGAGAAGAGGTTGAGAATGACACTGGATTTGTGACCCTAGCCTAAATTTAAGGAGCCCCTATCTATGTTCATTATACTTATCTTCATTCTCCCCATTCTCTCCCTGCCTAGCCATATTTGGTAGGAAACTATTAGTGCGGCTTTAGATGGTTAAACAAGTCTAGAATTTATGGAGTTTTGTTTTTTGAGAGCCAAGATCTTAGTGAGAGACTTCACTGGTATATCTCTTACTTTACTTCACCAGCATATAACATACCAGCTATCCATTTTTGATCAGCTCATTTCTGAGATCATTATATAAGTTTGTTTGTGTGGTCTTAAGTCTGGAATGACCTTTAAATAAGTGTAAAAAATTGTAAATTGTTTATACATCAGTGTAAATAATTATCTATTAAAATAAACTAAATAATGTAAACCAACAAGTTTAGAACATATGGGCCTCATCTTCTAGTTATTATTTGTAGTTTAGCTCTTACGACTCGACTACTGGCAAATTTTATTTCCGGGTTTTTTGTTTTGTATATTTTACTTTCTATGCTATGCTGTGCTGGTGCAGTCACTCTCGATCCTTGTTGAAAACCATCCTTATGTTGAGTTGTTCTTAGGTTTATAGTATTTTCTTTTCTTTTATCATGTATAAAGTTTTGTCTTTTGTCACCATATGCATGCCTGTTATTGTAATATAAATATTATTTTCCCACATAAAATAGTTCTATAGTTAATTAACCAGTGAGTAAATTGGTTTATCTTAAATGTAATAACAATAATTCCGATTCCGAGTATAGCGGAAAGCTAAAGAGAAAAATGATGACTTCCGATTATTATTATTCATGTATTCATCTACATCATCATTGTGTATTTGTATGTATATTTATATTTATATTATATGTGTATGTGTGTATATGTGTATACATGTATATATTGCAATTTATTGGTGTCTGCAAGAGATCGCTCTTAGCGATAAGACCGCTTGTACTTATTTTTTTGTATTTAATTGTTCCCATTGTTTCTTTTGTTGGTGTACAATACAAGAATACTCACTCTCTCTCTCTCTCTCTCTCTTTCTCTCTTTCTAACTTTAATTATTTTCTATAGATGAGTCTTCTACCTGAAATTGATACGGCTATTAGTCACAATGGAAGAGGAACAAGCATGGCTTGTCCGAACTCGTTCCGACTCTGAGACATCCTCAAAGTTGAGCTTCGGTTCACTGTCACGGACAATGACATACACAGAGCACCGGCTCTCTGCTGGTAAGTGTGCTTGAAATGCTACATTTAAATTGAAAAATTGTAAATTTTGCACATGGACTTCATATCTTGCACGCATGAAAATTTTTAAGTGATTTTCAGTATACAGACACACAGTTACATAAATTCAAATTGAACTAAAGATTATTCAGTGATTTTTGTGTTGTCATTATTAATCTATGCTACGTTTATTAGTGGTGGATCGTTTATAAACATAGTGTTAGGTCAATTTTTATTAAATACACATGTAGTTATGAGTTACAGTTTGCCATTATCCACTTTGAGCAGTAACACTACTTAGTTTACTTTACTTACTTTACTGTGTGAACCCTTGTGGGGTATAGGACAAGCTTACCAAGATAGGCTCCACTATCTTGCCTGTTTCTGCTGCCATGCAATCCTATGTACCACCTTGGAATATATTGCATCCACTCACTTCGATAAAGTGGCACGACACGAGAACCCTCTCGTCGTGGCCGCCGGTAACTACATTCCAGATCCTGCGGACAGAATGGAAAGCAGTCGACGTCGCCCCAAACACGTCATTTCGGATCCTCCCGATCCATTAACGGTGCTTTTAGGTACCTCAAACAACGGTCATCGTTCTGGTCGAACCCGTCGCTTGCGACGAAGGGCTCGACGAGTAAATTAACCCTCAGACACAGCCCACTGAGTTTCCCGCCGGATCTTCTCAATGGGTCGCGTTTCCAATCCGGTGGTAGATTCTGCGAAGCACGGCTCTTGCTAGGGTTCGTGTTAGCAACGTCATCAGGTTTGAGCCCCGTGAGCTCACCTACTAGTTAGGCGACTCTGATATAGCCCCTCAAGGCTATTAGCTTAGGTAGGAAGAAAAAGAAAAAAAGCACCCACAAAATTATCAGATTTCAGTGATATTCAGCCAATAATCTATAATTTGTATTATCTAAGCATGTATGTTATCTTAGGAGCCGAAGCGGCCGGTGAGCCAGGCAACACTATCACAATGGCATCCAGTCCTCCGGACAACGCGACTGAGGGAAACGAAAGCGGCGAGCTCCTAGACTACAATGACTCTAGTATTCTCGAACAATTCCATGAAGATGCCCTAAGACAGGTAGGAAATATATTGCCCGATTTGCAAAATATTATCAATCATTTGATCTTCAATAGATGACTAGCAGTAGCATCATAACTTGGCAGTGTCGGTCCAGTTAGATTGATCCATGTGTCTCTAATGCCTTCAGATTTGTGCGAAAACCCAAACTGTAGGTTAAAAGCACTACTGTGTAAATATTATTGTGTGACCAGAAAAACGAGATCAAAGTCACAGCTGTGTGCGTATTACCTTTTTTACCTGGCGGACCTCGCCTACGGTCGACGGACCGTCGAGGCGATCCTCCCGGTCCTCTCGGACTGGGTGAATCGCGACCGAAAACGTCTCACCTTCCAAGCGACGCAGGTGCTCACGGGACACGGCTGTTTCGGTCGCTACCTGCACCTCGTCGCCCGGAGGGAGCCGACGTCGAAGTGCCACCACTGCAGTGGCTGCAACGAGGACACGGCGGAGAACACGCTCGCGTACTGCCCCAGCAGCGCCGCGTCCTCGTTGCAAAAATAGGACCGGACTTGTCGCTTCCGACCGTCGTGGCTACGATGCTCGGCAGCGATGAGTCCTGGCAGGCGATGCTCGACTTCTGCGAGTCCACCATCTCGCAGAAGGACGGAACGGGAGTCGGTCTGCTATTCCAGCTACGCACGGTTTGGTAGCGAGCTCACGGGGCTCAACCTTGAAGGTCTTGCTGACACTAGCCCTAGCAGTGCTTCACTGAGACTAACTGACTGAGGGGATCTGACATGCAACTGGAGTTGGTTTTGTCTATGGGCCAAGTTGCACGTCGAACACGCAATTCGACGAGAACGTTGCTCGGAGAGACTTTAAATCATCGAGGGTGGACCGGGAGGATCCGATAGGAGGTGCTTAGGGCGAGGGCGGCAGTGCGTTGGCCAGTCGCCTGAGTCGGAAATGTAGTTAATTCAAGGCGGCCACGAATTGGAGAGATATAGAGCTGCGCCGCTGCCTCTAAGAAGGTTAATTCCATTCTTTAGTGAAGGCATTTGCTCTCCTATTACATAAAAAGGATTGCTGAATACGGGTTGTATAAAAACAGATGAAGGAGTTTTGTACTAAGAAAAAGTACAAATAACAAAAGTTTGTTGGCCGTTTTCTCAAAATTGACAATTTTTTTTATTTTTTTTATTGCGGAGATGTGTGGACGAGCTCACAGCCCACCTGGTTTTAAGTGGTCTTAATTTTTATTACACGATGTTATTCCTTCACCGTGGAAGTCAATCGTGAACATTTGTTAAGTACGTATTTCATTAGAAAAATTGGTACCCGCCTGCGGGATTCGAACACCGGTGCATCGCTACATACGAATGCACCGGACGTCTTATCCTTTAAGCCACGGCAACTTCGAAATTGCATTATATCCCTTCATCCATTCATGTCTTCAATAAAATTATACAACACAAATGAGACATAGACCCACGTGTCTCTCATAGTTGTCTCATAGTTGATGTCAGTGGTGCTCAGCAACCACTTAACACCAGTTGGGTCGTGAGCTTGTTCACCCGTCTAGAATAACAAGTTGAAAATGTACAGTGCACAAATAAATCTTTATAATTAATGTGTCTTTCAGACTGGCTGCGGTCTCTCCCAAGTTCGAATAGTCCTGTCCGTGGGCCTGGCAGTGGCCGGTGCCACATTGGAGCTGGCAGCCATACCTTTCATCTTGCCATCCGCGGAGATAGAACTGTGTATACTGTTACACGAGAAAAATTGGCTCGGTCAGTGATTTTAATTAATTGAAAGCTACTTTGTTTTTAATACGCTTTTATTAGCTTCAGACGTATGTATGTTAGTATGTAACGGAATCTTTGAATATAATTTTGACCCTCTTCAAAACGTCGGATTAACTCGAAATTTGTTATCTATATATTAATACGTGAAGCAAAAACTTTATATCCCTTTTTACGAAAATTGCGCGGACGGAGGAGTATGAAATTTCCCACCCTTATAGAGAATATAGAGAAGAAGTGCACAATGCTTATGTTTTTTAAAATAATGCATAAAAGATACATTAAATCAATAAAGAAAACATTACACACACTACATACCATTTATTTGACGCACACACGCATGCATACTATTTATTGTCAAACTTTTGTTCTTGACGCCTGTTGTCAAATTGAGAATAGATTAAATATTGTTTGTCTTTGTTAATATTTTTTATAGTGCAGTCTTGGCAAAATTTGTGATTATAGAAGTATAATAGTCTTTGAAAATACAATCATAATAGTGTACAAACTTACAATTTCAATTAATTATAGTCGAATTTCGAATACCGGGGACCACTAGTACTTATTAAGGACCGATGACAATTTAATATTAAAAAAAATTAAATTGAAAAAAATTAAATTCAACTAAAAAATCAAAAATAAATAATAGTTTAAAAAAACTAACAAAACACGATTTTATAGAAAATTCGACTAAAAAATAGATTTTTTTTTAAATAAATTTTAATTAAAAATAGTGTAAGAAAGAATGATTTTATTGTAAAAATGCGTGGGGTGCTTTTCAGGAATAAGCCTTCTACTCATATCTGTTCATAAAATATTTATAACTACTGATACCATGCACCCAGTGCTTTTTTTACAATAATTTTTTTTTTTTCTTACACTACTATTTTTAATTCGAATTTATTAAAATCTATTATTAATCAAAATTATTCAATATAGAGGAGATATGGTTGGTTTCTTTAGGGGTCATAACTATTTTATTCGTTCTCCATAAATTAATGGAAAACGTAGTGCTATGACTTTTAAGTGATGCTTCTTTTGGCGTTAAGTGGGGATATTCATCCTCACCCCGGATACTCCTTAGAGTTTCAAAATGTCGTGCCTGGGTCCAAAATATTTGATACTGCATACACTTATTAATATTATAAATTTGAAAAGGTCAAAAAGTTAAAACCTCAAAAAGTGCACATAGCAGAGATTTTGGTTTGACAACGACGATATTGTATTCGCCAACAGTAATGATAACGCTGGTGGGTTGGGCCTTCGGTGCTCTGGGGTGGGGCGCCCTGGCTGAGAGACTTGGCCGGCGTCGAACCTTGCTCTCATGTTTGGCGGTGAATGCGGTTTTTGCTGCCATAGCAGCGTTCATGCCGACCTACGGAACCTTTATGATGGCGAGGTATATTTTTTTTGTGTGTGTTACAAGCTTTAGTTCATAATTTTTTATTGTGTACGGAGAGTTTTTTATTATAATTATTATCTAATCCACATAGATAGGGTCCTTATCGTCCGATGTGCTGTATATGCGTGATATTATTTATATTCGATAACGCTATAAACATCGATATGTAATATAAATTTGCAAGTGACAATAATTCGTTAAGCAGACCAACTGGTTAATATTTTTTTAAAGGGATTTCATGACCCGGTAACTAAGACCTTTAGGTCAAGTCTTATTTTAGTTTTAATGAAAACTTTTTATATAAAAAAGTGATATTTTGAAATGATATGACTTTGATTAATATGAAACATGGCACGAAATGAAATGAGATTATATGGGATGAAATATAATCTCAGTAAAATGGTGGTCATTTACAAATTCATTTAAAAATTACAAAATCGTATCACAGATTGTACTGTAGATAGTAAATCGAGATTTATTTTACTTTATTTATTACTTACATGGGTGGACGAACTCATGGTTCACCTGGTGTAAAGTGGTTACCGCAGCCCATACCACTTCGATAAAGCGGCACGATACGAGAACCCTCTCATCGTGGCCGCCGGTAACTATATTCCCGATCCTGCGGAAGGAATGGAAAGCAGTCGACGTCGCCCCAAACACGTCATCTCGGATCCTCCCGATCCGTGCTTTTAGGTACCTCAAGCACCGGTCATCGTTCTCGTCGAACCCGTCGCTTGCGACGAAGGGCTCGACGAGTATATTAACCCTCAGACACAGCCTACTGAGTTTCTCGCCGGATCTTCTCAGTGGGTCGCGTTTCCGATCCGGTGGAAGATTCTGCGAAGCACTGCTCTTGCTAGGCCAAGTGTTAGCAACGTCGTCAGGTTTGAGCCCCGTGAGCTCACCTATTCGTTAAGGTTACGCTGATATAGCCTCGCAAGGCTCTCAGCTTAGGTAAGAAAAAAAAACTAAAAAAGGTACAGCGTGCTGTGTATGCGCCCGCAGATTGTGCTCGGCGATCGGCTCTGGTGGCGTGGTGCCGTGCGGCGCCGCGTACGTGTGGGAGTGGTGCGGGGCGGGGGTGCGGCGCGCGGCGCTGGCGGGGGCGGGGGGTGCAGGCGCGGCCGGACTGTTCGCCGCCGCCGCGCTCGCCGCCGCCCTGCTGCCCCCCACCGGTGCCCTCACCCTCATCGAGAATAAAGAGCATTTCAGCGCCTGGCACAGGTCAGTAGTTATTTATTTACTAGCGACCCGCCCTCGCTTCGCTTCGGAAACATTAAATTTTGCTATTGATAGGCGAAGCCCGCCATGTTGCGCGCGGTACGACAATAACTGCGGGTGACGCCGCGGGGCGAAGCTAGTTTAAAAAAGTAGCCTAAGTTAGAGATTGGCCGGAACAAACAGACAGACAGACAAAAATTGTAAAAAATGTTATTTTGGTGTATGTCCCGTATATATAGGTATATTCATATGTATATAGTAAAAAGCGGTTATTTCAATATTACAAACTGACACTCTAATTTTATTTATATGTATAGATTAAGTTGCACCAACAAAGTGATCATTAATACAAAACATTGACAAACCGACCAAAAGTTCATGGCAGATGTCACCTCAATTATAAGGTGCAATCGACAGTGCATTAACAACAAAAAAAATGTGTTTTTTTTTTCTTTTTTCTATTGCCCTTGTAGACAGACGAGCATACGGCCCACCTGATGGTGAGTGGTTACCGTCGCCCATCGACTTCAGCAATGCCAGGGGCAGAATCAAGCCGCTGCCTACCGCTCAATACTCTACAAGCCTCGTTTGAAGAAGACATGTCATAGCGCTCGGGAAACACCGTGGAGAGGAGCTCATTCCATAGCCGGATGGTACGTGGCAAAAAAGATCTCTGGAAACGCACTGTGGATGACCGCAGTGGCTCCAGGTAGTATGGATGAACTCTACTCCGGTGGCGGGCGGTGCGATGGTAAAAACGAGATGTGCGATGATATAACTAAATTTAATTACATTTAAAATATATAAAAAAGAATGAAGTGAAACTTCTTTTTCGATGTATTGTGTTTAAAAGCTAGATAAATATTATGAAAATGCTCGGAATTAAATAAAAATAACAATTTTGTTGTTCCTTCAATGTGTCCCCCGTCGGACGGATCCCTTTTGTTTGTTTTATGTTTATTTTATACAAAAGCTTAGGTCTTTTATTTATCGATTGAGGCACTAAGAAGTCTGCCGGGTCAGCTAGTAAAGTAATAAAAAACATAATTCATTTCAGATATCTTCTGTTCTGCACGCTTCCGATCCTGGCGTCTCTTGTCAGTCTGATATGGACCCCGGAATCTGCCAGATATCTCCTGGAAGTCGGACGGGAAGTGGACGCGATGGTAGTCTACCAGGTACGTTTTTAGAATGCACTCAGAAAATAGAGGATAAGATATTTTTATTTATTACGAAAAATTCCGTATACTTCAAATCGTGTGACGTCATTTGAGGCCAAAACGACCTATTGTAATGTTTTAGTATTATTATTTTATTATATGTACTCGCCCGCTTCCCTGGGCATTTAAAATTAACATTATTATTTATTGTCATTATTATTAAGGAGTCCAACACTCATATAAATATTAGTCTATCCATTAAGTACATGCATTTTCTACATGGATACCAAGTTTCAAGTCAATCAGATGCATGGTTCAGTAGTTATAACGGAACATCCGAAAAACCACTGTAGATTTATATATTACTATAGAATGTCACCTTTAAATAGTATTGTTTTGATCGGTCAGAGTGTGCACAATGGGAACCGGTGTGGGCGCGGTGGCGCGGGGAGGGACGCGGAGCCGGCGCTGCCGCTGCCTGCCAAGCGGAGGCCGCCCGCCCTGCACCACGTCCGCCACAGTCTCAAGATGGTAACCGCACACTCACTTACTAACTCACTCACTCACCTATCAACTCACTCACTCACTTACTAACTCACTCATTCACTTACTAACTCACTCACTCACCTACCAACTCACTCACTCACCTACCAACTCACTCACTCACTTACTAACGCACTCACTCACTTGCTAACTCACTCACTCTCTAGCTCACTCACTTACTAACTTACTTAATAATTCACTAGCCCACACACTCATACAGCCCGTACTCCGCGTTCTTTAACACGTTGACTCCTTTGACCTTTTAATGGTGGTAGGACCTCTTGTGAGTCCGCACGGGTACGTACTACCACTCTGCATATTTCTGCCGTGAAGCAGTAATACGTTTCGGTGGGGCAGCCGTTGTAACTAAACTGAAACCTTAGAACTTATATCTCAAGGTGGGCGGCGCATTTACTTTGTAGATGTCTACGGGCTCCAGTACCCACTTAATACCAGGTGGGCTGTAAGCTCGACCACCCATCTAAGCAATAAAATATATATATATTATGTCGATTTCTTGATGTATAGTACAGAGTGACGTTACGATTCCAGTTCTGGCAGTCGTTCTTCCAGTTGTTCTCGGGCGCGCACCGCCGCACCACCGTCTCGCTCGGGGGCACGCTGCTCTTCGCCATGGCGATACAGGTCTGTATATACACAGTGTGTGTCTGTGTGTATTTGCGTGTGTGTGTGTGTGCGCGTACGTGTCCACTGATCATAAATTCAATATTAAAAATTTATTTGCAAATGAATCAACAGTAGTTGACAGGCCAACCCGACGCCGCCGCCCTCTAGGGAGGCCCTAGAGCGATACGGCCGTCCTCACTACTACTTCGCATTCTCGAAAGTTCTTTCATTCATTCAGAATATTCTTTCTTAGTCGCACGCCATCTATTGTCCCTGGAACGCGTTTTTGAAGTGAAACTTCTAATGCGACTTCTAACAAGGTTGCGTTAATCGTGTAACGTTACCATACTAGAAAGAGACAGAGCGAGAATGAATGAGTGGCACTCATTCTCGTATGGCACGTTGCAGGCCAGCGCGAGCGTTAGCAGCGAGTATAGCAATATTTATGTGTATATTTATTTTATATCTATAATTTGATATATATATTGTTACGCCGGTAAGAGTAACGCCATCTATCGCCGATTAGTCGAACGAATATCGAAGGATCCAGAATGCTCGAGAATTACAACGCCATCTATTGACAGATAGCGGAAACTACAACTAGAGATGTGTAGAACATTCTCGATAATTCTAGGGATGGGGTATCGGCTATAAAAGCGTTGTAGGGATGGCACGCATTAAGTCAGTAATCGGAACTACTCGAAGCGAAACAGCGAACGGATCACCTGAAGCGAAGCGGAACAAGCAAATTGAGGATTTTAAAGTGTTTGTTGTACAAATGTTGAAGATGTTGCATTTCTTATACACTTCAAAAAAGAAGTTTCACTTCTTCCACGTGCACCGTTTTTGGAGTTTACTCCTTTAGAATCGATTTACATATATAGGCCCGGGGTATGAAAATTATGGGGACCAAAATCGTACTAGCATGTCACACGAAATGCGTTATGCGCCTGATTGCGCATGTCACACGAAATGCGTTATCGCAGGTGACGCCGGGCTGCTGCGCCGGCAGTCCGCCACAAAGCCTCGTACTGATCGCGCGTTTCTCTCATTATTGTATTTTCATATATTTGTTAGTCGTTTGTTTTGTGTCTCGTTAATTTGTTAATAATCTGTAGTGTATCGTGTTGTCGTAATATAGAACTATTTCTCGTATTGTTTCGTTTAATTTTTTATATCCAGTAAACTCCAGTCGTGCGTCGGAGCGGACACCCCCCCTTTTTTTTTTTTTTTAATTTTAAGCTTGACCAACGTTATTTTCACTGCCAGTTCTACCTGTCGTCGTACGTTCCGTCGACGGTGGGCAGTATAGAGAGCGAGCGCTTCGAGGCGTCGCGCGTGGTGGTGCGCAACGAGACGCTGGTGGCGCGTCACTACCGCGGCACCGTGCAGAACGTGCACTACGCGAACGTGTCGTTCGTCGACTGCACGTTCCGCGACGTGCTGCTGTCGCACGTGCGCTTCCGGAACTGCTCATTCACGAACGTGTCGCTGCTGAACATCAAGAGCTCGCACACGCACTTCGAGGGCTGCCTCTTCGTCAATAGCAGGTGAGGGATTTTGTTATTGCTTAGATGGGTGGACGAACTCGCAGCTCAACTAGCGTCAAGTGGTTACTGGAGCCCATAGACATCTACAACGTAAATGCGCCACACACCTTGAGATATTGCAATTCAGTATTGCATTCAACTGCAATATGCATTACCTCCGGGCATTTCAATATTCCAATAATTGTTACGTTATAATACATCTTGTAAAAATGAATATTTAAAAAATATCTGATATTAAAAAAAAAAGACATGCCCGCTGAGTTTCTTGCCAGTCCTTCATAAGGCGGAGGCTAGTTTTGTGAATTTGGCGGTAGTTCTTTTTGACGTTCAACAAGTATATACTTTCATTTATGTTGAATATTTTTTTATTTTTTTTTTTATTTGTTGATATAAGTTTTAAGGTCTCAAGTATAGTTACAACGGCTGCCCCACCCTTCAAACCGAAACGCATTACTGCTTCACGGCTGAAATAGGCGGGGCGGTGGTACCTACTCGCGCGAATTCACAAGAGGTCCTACCATATTTTTTTCCTACCTATGCTGAGAGCCTTGAGAGGCTATAATAATATCAGCGTAACTTTAACTAGTAGGTGAGCTCACGGGGCTCAACCGAGAGTGTTGCTAACACTGGCCCTAGCAAGAGCAGTGCTTCGCAGAATCTATCACCGGTTTGGAAACGCGACCCACTGAGAGGATCTGCGAGAAACTCAGTGGAATGTCTTACCACCAGTAAATGTCCTCAGCATCATCGACACGGACCTGGAGCTGGGCGGCGAGCTGGACGCGTGGTGCCGCGTGGTGGGCACGGCGGTGCGCGGGCCGCGGGGCGGGTGCGCGCGCCACGCCTCCCTCACCTCCCGCCTCGCCGCGCCCCTCGCCCGCGCCCGCGCCGCCGCGCCCGCCGTGCTGCTCGCCGCGCTGCTGGCGCTGCTGCCGCGCCGCCTCACCCGCACCGGTAATCCCCCTATACACTCGCTCTGCATAGATAGCACTGCATAAACTGCAGTGACCATATGTTCCGTATGTTCAAAACTATACACAACCATACATCACTAACGCACTAGATGAGTGGTCGGGGAACCGGGGTAAATTACCCCAAATGGGGTAAAATGAAATTTTGGGGTGTAAAAATGAACATTTTGTGAGTAAAAAGTATATATTGAAGTGAAACTTCTTTAGAATCTTTAAAATTTTAGTTATTGTTTTCTTTTCAAAATTAGCATGGGGGCTATAATATGAAAGATACTACAAAGAAGCGATTTCCTTCTTTTTGGTTCTTCGCCATGGGGCAATATCAACTTAAACAAAAATATTTTGGGGTAATAATAAAAAAAGTTCCCCGACCGCTGCACCAGATCATAAATTAATATTCTAAAACGGCCTACCATTTCTCCTTGCGTCATATTCCTCACTGCTGAGGGTCGTGACCATCCTTTTGTATCACCTTAGCACGCACGATCTTTCTCCATTTATTCTTGTGTCTGGCGGGGTGAAGGGCGTTGTGAAATGTCGAATCAAGCGCGGATCTGGTCGGACCAACGTATTGGGCCGCGCCCCGAGGCCTTTTCCCATCCACCTTACCGGTCACGATGAGCCTCTCGAGATTGCTACCATCCTTACCGTTAATTGGAGGGAATATATATTATACTAGATGTAGAATAGGAACAAATCTGGGTGGTTAATATTTTATTTCTCGACGTTCAACAAAGATAGTTTTTCTGAAGTTCTACTTCTTCTGGTCTTTGAGTTTTTCTGAAGTTCTACTTCTTCTGGTCTTTGTTTTGATGCATACGCGTATCGGGTTAGTAGCCAAGTACCCACCTAATAACTAAACAGTGCCAGCTCTATCGAAAAACCCTTTAATTCCACATACATGATCCGATTCACCCCAAAGCCAAGATGAATCGAGTCAAGTTAATTAATTTTTATTTTTTGTGTATATTTTGCAATTAACTGTATATAATAATGCATCGTATATGAAAATTTAAACCTCCGGAACCATTTTAATCTGAATTTTATTGCCCTAAAAAACTGCTGAAAATTTGTATTGGAATTAAAAAGTGTGGAATTAGAAAGAAACGAGCTTTCTAAAAGCTTTGTTCACTGAAATTTAAGCTATTAGCTTTCAGTATTCACAATCCAAAAGTCACACCGTTTAGATTTATATTAAGTTTTTTTCTTCTTATTACTTCTGTTCCCAGTTACCTTGACCGCGGCCTGCGTATTGCTGTCTCCGTTGCTCTACATAGCGACGAGTGAGACGGCGCTATACACCGTGGAGGCCGTCTACACCGTGCTCATAACGCTGGTGTTCCTCAACGTGACCGGCGACGTGCTCGAGTCGTACCCGGCCGGAGCCAGGTGAAGTACTGACGCAGCAACGGATCTCGTGTAGAAGTGTAACTTCTTTAGTCGCGTAGGGAGTAATATGAGTTGTTCGGTGGCAAACGCGAGAACCGAAGCTGTCAGGATTGTAGAAGTTAAACTTCTTTAGGCGCGTTGAGAGTATAATACGAGTTGTTCGTTAGAAATGCGAGAAGCGAAGCTTTCTGGATTGTAGAAGTGAAACTTCTTTAGGTGGGTTAAGAGTATAAAAGGAGTTGTTCGGCGGAAACGTGAGAAGTGAAGCTGTGTGAATTATTGAAGTGATACTTGAAATGATCGTATTTTAATTACAATAATTTTGACTAGTGAGGAAACCTTTGGTAATCTGTTACTGTTAAAATGTTTTTATGAAAGCAAGTAAGTCAGTAGACCGAAGCATCTACCACCGAAAGAACCCATCATGGTCATGACCGCCGCTCTCGCTGCGTACTGCCACTCTGCACCGCTCACCTACACAATGCAATATAGACCAGAATGCAATTAATTATATAGACTTATATTTGAATAGATAAAACACAAAACAATTAGGAGCAGTTAGGAGACTAAAATTTTATTCGCGACAGATTCGTTACGGCTAGAGAAAAATATACAATTTAGAAAGAGCGAGAGTGAGAAAAATATACAATTTAGAAAGAGCGAGAGTGAGAAAAATATACAATTTGGAAAAAGCGAGAGTGAGAAAAATATACAATTTAGAAAGAGCGAGAGTGAGAAAAATATACAATTTAGAAAGAGCGAGAGAGAAAAATATACAATTTAGAAAGAGCGAGAGAGAAAAATATACAATTTAGAAAGAGCGAGAGTGAGAAAAATATACAATTTAGAAAGAGCGAGAGTGAGAAAGATATACAATTTAGAAAGAGCGAGAGAGAGAAAAATATACAATTTAGAAAGAGCGAGAGTGAGAAAGATATACAATTTAGAAAGAGCGAGAGTGAGAAAAATATACAATTTAGAAAGAGCGAGAGAGAAAAATATACAATTTAGAAAGAGCGAGAGTGAGAAAGATATACAATTTAGAAAGAGCGAGAGTGAGAAAAATATACAATTTAGAAAGAGCGAGAGTGAGAAAGATATACAATTTAGAAAGAGCGAGAGTGAGAAAAATATACAATTTAGAAAAAGCGAGAGTGAGAAAAATATACAATTTAGAAAGAGCGAGAGTGAGAAAGATATACAATTTAGAAAGAGCGAGAGTGAGAAAATACACAGCGTTTCGCAAACCTCTTGACCATGCAGAGAGGGAAAGGACAAACGAGCTAGGTCGTCTCTTTTATACACAGCATTCCCTATTACTAGAGAAATTTGATTGAAGGATGAAAAATCCACAATACTACCACAATGCAAAAGAAGTTTCACTTCTTTCACGTGCACCAAGTTGCACGCGTTCCTTTTTGTTTTTTACGTCTTATCCTTCCTGACGTCTTATCCTTCAGGCCACGACGAGTGCCCACAATAGCCGAGTTGACAATGTCAATGACCGATCTAACCTCGTTCCTTTTCGCAGATGCACGGCGCACGGCGTCATACTATCAGCGGCGTACTCAAGCGGCGCCGTGCTGTTGGGAGCGGGCGACGCCGGTGCCGCGCTGAGCTGCGTGCTGTGTGCCGCGCTGGCTCTCGCGGCGACCGCCTTCGCTTACAACCGATAGAGCTAGCTGCTCCAGTCTTGCAACCCAGTTGACTCACGGTCTGATTCAAAATCCAACAAATTGATAGTTCTTTTTCAGCTTCCCAACTAAAATGTCACGAACAAAGCCGCCGGTAGAGCGAGAATGATGAAGGCAGCTGCGATCAGCTATAGTATCATATGACGTCACAGCTAACGAATCTCTGAAGACGTCGATCCGGATAGAAAATTTCGTAAAGTAAATCCTTTTAAAATTATTTTTTATTTATAGGCGTCACGAATCGAAATGACACCATTCTAATATCAACTTTTAGTATTGATCAGATCTCAAAAAGTCCGCAGTGAATTAGGGGAATAATGATAATGAAATGCTAAGGACAATACATACCATTTTTTTATTTATTATCATGGCAACTCTCATTGATTTTATTTATTTATTTATGTGAACTCAGTTTTTGTCGAAGTCATTAATGTCAGATATATCGTTCTTTATATATTGTTATTATTATTATTATTATTATTATTATATCGTTCTTGTACTTGCCATTTTTATAAACAAGGAACCAAAGTATAAAAATTGACTGATTTCTTTTTTTTTTTAGTTTTTGACACGCATAGGAAAATTTTTATTTAGTGTATATATCAATAAATAAAAAAACAAACGAATTGAACTTATATCACGTAGGTATTGGGTAATGAAATGAAATTTTAAGAAAAAGAAGAAAAAAAAAGGAAGCAATGTATTTGATATCAATTTTTGAAACGAGCAAGCAATAAATTTTAATAAGTGTTAGTTAATTTAAGTTCCATTGACGCGTTTGCTGCTTAGTCGAATGCAGGTACTAATCCAGTTAATATTGAACCACGGGTCATCTGCTAGATACATATATTTCGCCATTGCTATATCCTGTAGCCAAAAAAAAATTCCAAATCAGTATCTAGTTTGAAATTTTCAATCGTGATCATCAGCATATTCTGTGATTCCTCGTGTGCAACCCACCCTGAAGCTTTGCCTTTCTGATATGGTCCTTGGAAATTCTACATCATCCTTGACCAGTCTCCCGGGGGGTCCATAGAACCTCGGCACGCTAAAGCCCCAAGTGATATGATGAAAGATATTAACACTAATCATACCAACGCTTACTGGTACCTATTTCTGCCATAGCGGGTAGATAACAGCTTACGACAAGTATTACTCAAAATAAACAAAATATTATAATAACTGTAGATTAATTGATAAGAAAATGTCATGAAGTCAAATGTGGAAAAGCAATAAGATCATATTTTCAATGAAAAAGTTCAAAATGAGTACAAATTGACCCGTTATGATATTATGTTTAGTGTTAATAACCTTGCCAATTTAAAAGCAAATTAGCGTGTGTGTTCTAAACCAGTGGTGCGCAAATTTTGGCGACCCCCCAACCAGGGAGGGTGAGGTTGTACTCCGAACTGCTAAATCGGCCGAAAAATTAAAAGAAATCGGCGACCCCCAACAACCTTCTGGCGGTCCCCACAGAAGTCGCGACCCCTAGTTTGGGAATCACTGTTCTAAAGCCCGGGTTCAATTCTGATTGTCTCCGTTTGAGCCCGGTGTTACGTTGTCTAGTGTCTGCGCTTCTGGTATTGTCATGGTCCAAGGGCCACGGGAAACGATTCGACCCGAATTCAGGTATCTCGTTTCCCGTCACAAATATACAGATCCGTGTATATTTAACCAACCTGGATGGATCTCTATATCGACGCTTGAAAGGCAAACGTGACTAAGCGACAATGCGTGAACTTTACAGTAGACTAATTTAAAGTTGAAATACCTGAAAACAAAATTTATTTTAACGAATCCAGCTGTATTAGAATCTAGCCAGTAGCTGTAGGATTGAAATGATTTTAACAGACCTAGAAATATATATTTTTTGCGCATCGAATGTGGTTATTGCCTGTCATTTATATACAAAGCAGTTATTGTCATGTTTGCCTTTCAAGCGTCGATATTTACTAAATATTATATTTTTAATTATTCGTGTTTTTTTTTTCCGAATACCCTACAAATACATCGCTTCAATGTTCCAATGTATTATAATATTTAGGTATGTACTGCGTTATTATAAATTATTTTATAGCCATCGTTGTGCCATTTCCGATTTCGTTCAGTGAATGCACGGTGTTGCCTTAAATTATCGTGTAATTTAGAATGGTAGCTTTTTTTTTATATATATTTTTTGTTTTTCCTTTTTGTAGCTTTCGAAATTAAGAGCTTAAATTTATAACGATTGCGGTTTAAGGCTAGTCGTAAATGATGTTTGTTAGCGAAGGTGATGTTTGGGTCGGTCTGTGTCATTCTCATTACTTTTTTTGGGATTTTTTTGTGTTGATTATTAGTAGATGATGATGCAGACCGTTAACATATCGACTTTGGGGTTAGGAGGGGGGGGGGAGATGAATCGGTTGTATTTGTTTTAATTGTAATTAAATTAATTTCAATGAAAGATGTTCGGACCAAAACGATCGGAGTTCCGTGTCTGATATTTCTAAACATTATGATGTCTGTGGACTCATAACTCATAGTCTTAGCCTACAACTCGCAAGAGCCGTAGGAGATATCACACGGACGAATAAACAAACGACCGTGTCTCCCCGTATCTATATGTATTACAGTTTGGTAGTTTTTTCCACGTATTCCTTGGGATAGCTGTTGTAGCTCTTATAAATGACGTCATAACTTGAAGTTTTAACGCAAAGGCACTACCGCTCTGTCTATTTCTACGCCGGTTTAAAGCCTCGTGTTTTACTACTGGGTTCCGTGAAAAGTGTGCTTAGTGCGAGTTTTTTAACGTTCTCGATAGCGTAAAAGTTAACTCAGATTTGTATGGAGTTGGAACAGCGCCCTTAGCGGCAAACATAGACTTATCGAAAAGTTTAAAAAATTCTCACATTTTTTTCCTATCTATGCTGATAGCCTTGCGGCTATTTCAGCTTCTCCTTGACGTGTAGATCACGGGGCCCAAACCGCGAGCGTTACTAACACTGGCCCTAGCAAGAGCCGTGCTTCGCATAATCTACCACCGGATTGGAAACGCGACCCACTAAGATCTAGTGAGAAACTCAGTGGGTTATAAAATTTAGGAGTTCTCACTAAGCACACTGGTTCGCCGATTTAGATCAAAAATAATGAAAGCGACCGATCGCGTGAACCGTGTTCTGAATTTTGAGGGTATTTAGCAATATTTATGTAATGTAGGGACTTTAACAACAAACCTCGCCTTGAGCGAATGTGGGACAAATAACAGAATACTTTCTGGAAATTTCCGAACAAGATGTCATCTTTCTTTTCCGTAGAAAATATGTGGAGAAAATTACGATAATTTAGTAATTAAATATTATACTAAGTCTTTACTTGTTTATCCATTTCGCCATATCATATATTTTAAGTGATATTCAAATAGACTGCTATACACATATATAATTTAACGACAAAAGAAAAGAAAGACATATTCATTATACATACATATATATTTAGAAATCAATCGAATTTTATTTTTATTTTTACTTAGTTTCAAATATACGAACCACCACGACTTATCGTGAATTTGTTTCGGTAGCTTTAGTAGCTTTTTTGAGCGTCGCATTGGCATCACCACTGCAATAAACAAAAAGACTTAAAACACCGCATTCCTATTGATCGGACTGATTTTTTATTCCTAGTCAAATTGAAATCTACTAACATGTAATAAATTAGAAGAAAAAAAAAGGCTAAATATTATTTCCTTAAAACACCAGTCTTTATTTTAAGGCGGTTAACGAAATTAATGAATACTAATAAAATATGTACAATAACATAGATTTTCCATACTTTTATAGATTATATAGATTTTTTTTTTCTTAAAAAAATATCCATAAGAAAAGGAATCTTGAAACATAAATGGCTTTATTCATCTTTTATAATAAATTTAAAAAAAAGAGAGGCACGTCGCTTTTTTTTTATAATAAGAAAGTCAGGTAATAAGTCATTCTAGCATTGATTAAATTTTTAATTTAAGATAACTGACGTTTTGTTTTGGAACTTGCATGCTGGTTGTTTTTAGATTAAATAGACTGAAGATTGTAATAGTGTGACGTGTAAATAAGTTCAATAAATATGTTCGTATTTAAACAATTGTGGGTTTTAATTAGACGGTCTTGATTAGTTTTTGGAAGGTTAACGATATGGTGTAACTGACTGCGGATCAGAAGATTCCAGGTTCGAATCCTGGCAGGGTCGCCATATGAAGGATTGATCGCCGTGGCGAATATGAAACACGTCTTTGCTGTTCAAATACTTATTTATTACTCTCTTAAATATCTTACTACGCCACAACGACATAGGGAAGATCTTCCACCGAGCGCGTCAAATTGCTCGGTAGACCGACGGTCCGAACGCTTTTTTTTTCTACCCATGCTGGTAGTCTCCAGGGATTATGTCAACTTTTATAATATACGACACGATCTTTTATTGATATCAGCGAAGCACTGCCGTTTTTTGTTTTTTCCTACCTAAGCTGGTAGCTTTGAGAGGCTATGTCAGCGTAACCTAACAAGTAGGTGAGCTCGCGGCACTTAAACCTGAGGACCTTGCCTTGCCTACCCTAGCAAGAGCAGTACTTCGCAGAATCTACCGCCGGATTGGAAACGCGTCCCACTGAGAAGATCCAGAGAGAAGCTTAGTGTTGTTCGGAACTTGTATAGATCCAAAGCTTATCTTGAAAATGTCGTTAGCGAGATTCAGGCTCCTGTCAATTGATACTTACACCTCATGTCTCAATGTGAGAGGCTATGTCAGCGTAACCTAACAAGTAGGTGAGCTCGCGGGGCTCAAACCTGAGGACGTTGCTAACACGAACCCTAGCAAGAGTAGTGCTTCGCAGAATCTACCCTCGGATCGAAATCGCAACCCACTGAGAAGATCCGGAGAGAAACTCAGTGTTGTTCGGAACTTGTATAGATACAAAGCTTATCTTGAAAATGTCGTTAACGAGATTCAGGCGCCTGTCAATTGAGACTTACACCTCATGTCTCAAGGTATTGGCATTCACGTTGTGATGTCTGTGGACTTCCGTAGCCCCTTGAGGTCTGATTGCGCACGAATTTGTTCACACATTAACCAATAAAAATTATTCTTATTAAAAAATAGGCGGCATTTACGTTGTACATGTCTAGGCTCCACTAACCACTTAACAAACCGCTGGCCGTGAGCTCGTGCAGCCATATCTATATATATAAAAATGAATTTCTGTTCGTTAGTCTCGCTAAAAATCGAGAACGGCTGGACCGATTTGGCTAATTGTGGTCTTCAATTATTTGTGGAATTCCAGAGAATGTTTAAAAGGTAGATAAATATGAAAATTCTCGGAATTAAATGAAAATAACAATTTTGTTTTTCCTTTGATGTCCCCCCCGTCGAACGGATTCCTTTTGTTTGTTGAAGTGAAACTTCTTTAGAATCGTTGTGATTTCAAACTCGATGAAACGAAAAAATAAGTCCATAGAGACACAAACACGTAAATGTATAGGATTCAGCCGGCGAGAGAATGAGATAGAACACATTACACGTTTTCAATGTTTTTTTTTAATACAGCGCTATCTATGAGATATTTTTAATAATAACGTGTCTATGAAACCTCTTGTACTGAATTTTATTTTAATTTTTGAAGGTTTCGCTTCTACCACGTGTGAATTGCACATGTTTTTTTTTAAGTTTATTTTATACAAAAGTTTAGGTCTTTTATTTATCGATTGAGGATTGCCGGGTCAGCTAGTAAGCAATAAAACAATAACTAGTGATCCCGATACTGATTTCATAATAAAAACACATATTTTATAAGGTTATTTATTAAAACTATATTTTATTAAACAACTATTCAAACTTATCTAATGTTAATCTAAAAATTTATACAAATAAATTTATCTTATAAATATTATTATATTAAACCGCTGTTACTTATTCGGTTGCTTTCTTTTCTGTACACTGTAAAAGAAAATTATATTATTATTTTAAAGACTGCTTTTCTTCAGTTCGAGTGGTCGTTGGAGCCTATACATTACTACCATCACTACGTTAATGAGGCCACCCTCTTTGAGACAAGAGGTCAATGTCTAGGATCTAGGTCTCATAGTACAACAGCTGTGCCACCCTTCAAGATACAACGCAGTTTTGCTTTGCAACTTAAATAATGAGACAGGAGGTCAATGTCTAGGATCTAGGTCTCACAGTTCAACAGCTGTGCCACCCTTCAAGCTACAACGCAGTTTTTCTTTGCAACTTAAATAACGGATCTAACTGTTAAAAATATTGAATATAGATCGGTCCTTGAATAAGACGTAAAATTTCGAGTCAATTCGACGTTTTGAAGGGAGTCAAAATCACGGTCGAAGATTCCGTTATATACATACTAACATAATATGCATGAAGCTAATTTTTTGATTTTTTTTATTGCTTAGACGGGTGGACGAGCTCACAGCCCACCTGATGTTAAGTGTTTACTGGAGCCCATAGACATCTAAACGTAACATCTACAACGTAAATGCGCCACCCACCTTGATACATAAGTTCTAAGGTCTGATGACTGGTCACCAGATACAGTGTTTTCAGGTTATTTTGGTTGTATTGGGCTATCGCCCAAAATTACACAACTAATTCAATGTTAACTAAAAAATTTTTTTTATTTTATTGCCTTGATGTGTGGACTATCTCACAGCCCACCTGGTGCGGAAATAAGCGGGGCGGTGGTACCTACCCGTGCGGACTCACAAGAGGTCCTACCACCAGTAATTACGCAAATTATAATTTTGCGGGTTTGATTTTTATTACACGAAGTTATTCCTTCACCGTATTTCATTAGAAAAATTAGTACCCGCCTGAGATCCGAACACCGGTGCATCGCTCAACACGAATGCACCGGAAGTCTAATCGTTTAGGCCACGACGACTTTACTGGTGGTAGGACCACATAGGAGACCGCGCGGGTAGGTACCACCGCCCTGCCTATTTCTGCCGTGAAGCAGTAATGCGTTTCGGTTTGAAGGGTGGGGCAGCCGTTGTAACTATACAGAGACCTTAGAACTTATATCTCAAGGTGGGTGGAGCATTTACGTTGTAGATGCCTATGGGTTCCAGTAACCACTTAACACCAGGTGGGCTGTGAGCTCGTCCACACGTCTAAGCAATAACAAAAAATTGCCACAAAGCAAAGTAAACAAAAACCATACTCACAACGTACTCCCATTAACATCTTCGACTAATTCGAAGCTAACTGTGTTCACATTAAAAGCACTCACTACCGAATCACTAACACCATAGAAGTCTTTGTTCACACAACGGTGGATCACATTGAAGAATTGATAGATGCAAAACTCTTGTATTTCACAGAAAGGTCCCAGGAATTTGAGTTGAGCGTAATCATTGTCTTTTGTAAACTCCACAAAGCAATTCAGTAGTTCGTCTAAAATATTCTTGACATCCGTTTGCATGTCCGCTGTTGTGCTTGAAGTATTCGGTTGGGTCGAACACGGATTTGAGGGCTCCGTTGTTTGAGTATCGACCCTCAGTTCTGGTAGATCTTCCGGTGTTACCAGGAATACGTCGGGCGGGGCCTCTTTGTATATACGAAGTTGTCTGGAATTGTAAAAAAAATATATTAAAAGTAAAGTGGCAAAAGAAGGGTAGGGAGACCGAAAAGACGATGGGCTGACGACATAACCGAAATAATAGGTAAGGACTGGCAAACTACAAGGATAGAGAGCAGTGAAAAGGACTGGAGCCTTAACCCGAGGAGGGGTAATAATCTAATAACAAAAACTAACTCTTACTAATATTTAGACAATAAGCATTAATATGTAACTAAACATTAACAAACAAATACCACATTTGAAATGAAATTTATAAGGAAATACAGGCTTCTTTTTTTTATTTAATTTTTTTATGCTCAGGCCATACTAATCTCTTGTGAGCTTCCTGGATATTTTCTTTTGTTATTTGTTGCACATCGTGAATGTAAATTGAATTCATGTAAATGCCTTCACTCAGTTTGAGACATGACGTCTCAGTCTCAAAAAATATTCCTTTTTTCTATTGCTTAGATTGGTGGACGAGCTCACAGCCCACCTGGTGTTAAGAGGTTACTGGAGCCCATAGACATCTACAACGTAAATGCGCCATCCACCTTGAGATATGAGTTCTAAGATCTCAGTATAGTTACAACGGCTGCCCCACCCTTCAAACCGAAACGCATTACTGCTTCACGGCAGAAATAGGCAGGGCGGTGGTACCTACCCGCGCGGACTCACAAGAGGTCCTACCACCAGTAATAATATTACAATTTCTCCTACTACGAGTTTTTGACATTTGTATATTTTTAATCTTAGGACGTTAAGTTTCCAAACAAAACTAAGTCTAGCTTACCGGTGAGGCTGCTCGCCTTCGCTCTCTGTGCCAAGAACGAAGCAATTGTGAGCGTATATTTCATTCAAAATCATCTGTTGAGTGCCAGCTTTAACCCGTGGTGTGTCATCATCAGCATTGATGACCTCGTGGACCAGGCAATGTATGATTCTTCTCTCCTTAGGAAACAACTTCTTGTCGAATAAAATCTCAATTTCTTTATTGTTCTTAACAAATTCTAATATGACATTCAAGGCGTTAGTTCGCAATTGTTCCTTGCTTTTGCGCAATATGTTCTTGCGAGCTGATTTGGTTTTCGCTTTATTAGCCGGCGGTTTTGTAATCCTTACTGGCATTTTGCTGTTCTGACCGAAGCCTATGTTTTTGTTTGCCTGTAAAATGTAGAAATTTATGTTTCTTATTGAAAACACCCTTTATATTTATTTTTATTTATTTATACTTATTGTACACAAAAAGAAAATACAATCAAAACAGATTTAAAGAATGTCTAAATACTATATACAAAGGCGAGCTTAACTCATTCATGAGTTTTCTTCCAGTAGACCATTAGCAGAGAGAAATACAATGTATAAGAGGGGAATAGTGTACAATATATGAACTATTAAAGCATGATTTTTAAACTAAGCATTAAAAAAATAATATAAATAAAAATACATAAAACAATAACTTAAATACGATTAAAGTGACAAGAAATGTTTCTTCATTTGACTCTTAAAAACTTCTAGAGAGGAACTAGCACGAATTTATATAATAATTTCCTGGCATTTATACTGGGAGAGTATTTATTTTAACTTCACCGGTACACGGTCAAGAAAATAGTTCAAGGTTTGGGTCCTTGATTGTATAATGTTTAAGTATATAAAAATGTACACACATTCATTTTTACATTATTAAATTTCATGAAGCATACACAATTGTATGCCAATTGTACTTTTTTTTGTATTTAATGTTTGGTATACAATAAAAAATACTCTCTCTCTCTCAAACACTTACGTAAGTTGCATTGGGAGCGATCGGTTCCAGTATACCTTCACCACTCTTGCCCAAGCCGCCGCCTTGATAACCCATTTTCTGCATCATACTATTAAAAAAAAACAACTCGTGGTCAATTTAACATGAATTTATGAAATAAATATAAAAATTTATAGTATATTATTATTGAATTGATATATACACGAAATACAATATAAATAATACACATGTCAAACTCGTAGTAAGAGAAATTGTAATATTATTAATGGTGGTAGGACCTCTTGTGAGTCCACATGGGTAGGTACCACCACCCCGCCTATTTCTACCGTGAAGCAGTAATGCGTTTCGGTTTGAAGGGTGGGGCAGCCGTTGTAACTATACTCAGACCTTAGAACTTATATCTCAAGGTTTGTGACGCATTTAGGTTTTAGATGTCTATGAGCTTCAGGAACCACTTGACACCAGGTTTCTGATTCTATTGCTTCTTAATGCTGTTACAGCTTCAGTGGTTGTCTTTTAACAGCATAGATAGGATTTGTTATTCTTAGGTACCTTTCGGCCTTACTCATTGTTACAGGCTGAGACATCGCTTTGAACAGGCTCTTGTGTAATTTGTTGACAACAGGTACAGGAGTATAGATCTTCTTCTTGGGGACCGTGGAGGTTTCGGGCAGTAAGCCGGCCCTACGCCAATTGTCCCTCGTCCAATCATTGTCCGGAGTTGGTTGTTTCGGTAAGCTGAAATAATGCAGACGTTAATCAAATTAAAATATTCTGACTGTGTTGCAACTGATATAGAATAGAGATACCATGTTTATTTTTAAGTGTTATAAAATTTGATCGAACTATTTACGAGATAATAGCCTGCAGTCTTATATCACAATGTGATACTTTTTGGTAGGGTGTATTCTCAGCCAGAAAGGATAAGGCCAAGGTAAGTGCCATCCTATCTATTTCACAAGAGATGCCCTTTAAATGCCCTCATGATGCCCTTTAAATGCAGTACAGGATACCCATTGTAACGTCAAAACTGGTCACCACTTAACCAAAGTGGATTGGATTTGTTTTTTAAATCAACGACTGTAAATCCATTCAGAAATGGCTAAGTTTTAATTTTTTTAGGACAACAACGTAATGACCATCACTAGAAATAACAGTGATGATGTCAATCCAATATCCGATGTGTGAGCTTCTGGGAGATAACGACACTTTGACCAATTTATTACTGAAAATCTAATGCTATGTTTTATTATATCAATCAGTCAAATTTTCCTAAAAGTGACCATTTTATAAACCGTTGTTTAAGAGGAATATTTTTGTATCTAAATATTTTTCTCTTATCCTATTGTATCCAAAAAGCACAAGAATAAGATGTAGAAAATGTTCCTAGTATTAAATAGCAATGACATTGTTTGTGTATTGAACAGCATTAATAAAAACTGTGAGTATAGATAGCCACTCAGCTAAGAGATACTCATCTCTTATAGGTTTAATAAATGTTAAACCCATAAGAGATAAGTATCTGACAGCTTAACATCAAACATCCATTCAATGTGTATTTATTGTTAATGGAAGGATAACAAATGTCTGGGAGTCCATTCCAGTTTCACCGGTACTTTTATTCAGTAAAAATGACAGCATGCATTATGAATATGGAATACATGCTATTATTTTAGCAGGCAATGGCTTAGATCTCTGGCATAATTCGTGTCTATTAGCGACCATTTACCAGCAGGAGATATGCAATAAAAATAACTTACTCAAAGTTTTCAGCGACAGCATCAGGGTCATTATAGAGCTCCTCGCGACTTATAACGCGCCTAGTTTCTGTCTCGCTAGCTTCAGCATCATCCTGAACCAGCTCTACTGAACCATCCTCCGAATCTACACTACACGTATCGTGAAAATTCGACTTTCCATCGATAGTGTTATCATGGCATTCGTCCGATACAGAGGGACCTTCGCAATTTAGGTTTCCAGAATTCATGATTCGAATTTAGAAGGTCTCTAAGCGAAATAACAAATTATAGACAACACTGTATCATTGTCCAATAACTATTCACAACACATAGGAATATTTTTTGACTGACTGACTAGGGCTTGTTTGATATATGATATTTCATAATATTGTAATTTCAAATAATTAAAATGTAACTACGGTACCTAAATAGCACTTAATTCAAAGCAGCAAGTACCTACATACCAAATAATACCAATAAATATATTAATTAATTGATTTGATCTAGTGAAGCGTAATACCGTAATACGTTTCGATTTTTTGGTGTATCGATACATCGCGATATTTTGTATTGATAATGTCAATGCAAAATAATATTACTGTTTCATATCACTTCGGCGGAATATCGCATCAAAAATATTATATTGTGTCGGTTACTTAGAGCAATATTTGGTCTATGAAATCTTAAAATAGCTGAAAATAACATTATAAAATGTAAGCAATATATATAATTATATTTCTATTGTATTCAGCCATAGTTACAGGGACCAGCTTAAGCTTTTGCAATAAGTATGATACGGGTAAATATTGCAACAGCTCCACAACAAACTGGTTGCTGCAATGTATTGGAATTCATCGAGACAAAAAGGGATGATCAACATTCCCAATCAATATCTGTGAGAACAGTATCAGGATAAAAAATCAAATCCTATAATGTACTTACTGCACAAGCGAAAACTAGCTTCCTCTCATATTGGATAACCCATTCATTCAAAGTCCAGCTCTCGTTCTTATATTCTTCAACTAACAAAATGTCAACAGAAAATTGAAATAACATAATATGGGTTATCGAAACAATTTATCATCATTAACATCATCATTATCATAGATGCTAAACATTGGTACATTGGCAATTGTAAAAAAACTAGTCTTAGAGAGTATTGAATGAATGAATTATTTATTTTATTTCAGACAACAACAAGTCCATATGTGTACATAGTATCATTGAAACATACTTAAAATTAACAAACAAATCAAATAAAAAAAAAGATACATTTATTTAAAATAATTATCAGTTGAATACATTTCAAATATTCCATTCAACAGATACTTACTTCGAACCAACCATTATTATGATTATTATTATTTAGTCCGCAGGTGAACCATGATACAATGGTTCAAGTACCGACAGTCATAACGGTCTGTTAATGCCTTCAGAATGCTGTTAGGGCTGACCCAGACCCGGCGAATCAGGAATGAACCTTTCCCGCATGGTCGTAAAGAAACAATCGACTCGTGCCTCGGCGAACATTCCCGACACGCTACAGAACCGAGGCAGCCCCAACAACACCCTGAACGCATTGTTGTATTGGACGCGTAAGGCGCTGTACTGCTTTTGACTATAGAGCACCCACAGGCTGCCCGTATAGAAGGCGTACAAAACGCTCTAAATAGAGTAATTTTGACATCCCGCGAACATCGAGCGAACCTGCGGGCAATCATATTAGCTCTTACAGACAGCGCTCCCCGCTTCCGCTCAATGTCTGCATCGTCCCTCAGGTCAGAAGTTACAAAGTGTCCTAGGTATTTAAACTTGTCTACTGTGCATAGTGGCATGCCATTCAGTTTGACGGAGGGAATGTTATCCAGACACCTGCCTCTGGCCTGAAACACTATACACTCACTCTTCTTTGTATTATACACCAGACCGTGACTTAGAGCATACCTTTCACATAATATATGCCAAGCAGCTATTGCAGTAATTGGTTTTATCACATATATCCCCGGTCCTATTCTTCACAATTGGCACCGCCACAGTCTTTAACATCTCCTCAGGCAAGTAGGAGTGTCCCATACATAAATTGTAGAACATAACCAAGAACATGTCCGCTAAACTTTTATAATTCTTACAGCAATGAGATTCGTCTTTTTGTAAATTAAAATAGAAAATGAAGAAAATGAGATAACAGTTTAGTTAAGTCTAATGCGATATTTACAATATTGATATAAAGGTATACGATAAATGAGTCGTCTATTATCAAAGGCGGCAATCTGTACATTTGGACAACATTTTTTTATTGATATGTCAATACAGATTTATTTGAATATAATCGTCTCCTTCAAAGAATACGGTTCAAAACCTGCATTAAATAAAGGTTAATAGTTAACCTATTATTTATCTAAGATGTCGTTCCGAAGAGTTTTGTGACTGCCAATGGAATACAAAGTCAATAATTCGTTTTTCTGATTTACCAATCATTGTCCAAAAGTCAGATTGCCGGCTTTGATAATAGTCGACTCATATATGAGTCGTCTATTATCAAAGGCGGCAATCTGTACATTTGGACAAAAAATTTTTATTGATATGTCAATACAGATTTATTTGAATATAATCGTCTCCTTCAAAGAATACGGTTCAAAACCTGCATTAAATAAAGGTTAATAGTTAACCTATTATTTATCTAAGATGTCGTTCCGAAGAGTTTTGTGACTGCCAATGGAATACAAAGTCAATAATTCGTTTTTCTGATTTACCAATCATTGTCCAAAAGTCAGATTGCCGCCTTTGATAATAGTCGACTCAAATATCGTGTGTCGCTGCAATCAGTTGCGATACATTACGATACGATATATGAATTTCAATATGATAAATCGAAATATATAAGTTGGGCATCACTAATTTGATAGATGCACAGAGATAACTATTAGAGACCATCCAGACACTTTGACAGATACCACTCAAATACGATGTCACTCAGTTGTCACTTTTATAAAATTGACATTTCCATAGACTTCAGTGATTTCACTATTTGCGAATGTGGTCTTGACGAAGGCTCTCCAAATCACATGTTTTTCAGTTGTCCACGTCTATCTTCCTCCCTCTATGATCTCCTTCCTCCTGATATTCCTCGCCCCATTGATCTCAAATCTCTTCTTTCCCTTGTCAACTCCCCTTTCGTTTATATTCTTAGTTCATTCATTAACCATAACAATATTAAGCTGTAGTTTGTCTGTCTGTTATCGAACTAACCCCTGTATATATATGTTGTATGTATATTGTTTTAGGTAAATCAACAGAGATCCTGTCATCAAACATTCTTAGCTACTCACTTAATTCTTAGTGAATATCTGTGACCTTGCTCGTTCACGAAGCCCGCTATAGAAAGCAGAGTATTAAATACACTTGACATTGGCGAAATCTAAAAGGAAACGCCATAAACCGAAGAGATAGATAGATAGATTTCACTGTACTATATAGGTCTATGTTTCACTGTCGAAGATAACATTCCCCATAGATAATACACATAATTATACATTCCCAAATCGGAGGTCGGAGACAATAAGTGCTTGTTACAAGAGCCGAAGCACATCTGGTGTCAGAAAATTGAAATGGAAAAAATTAAATACAACCGAGTACGGCGGGAAACGAAATTAAATTAAATGAGGTAAGGCAACACGATGTTACAATACTTAGGATTAAACCAACATTTTGCCGCAAAGGTATTGGACTGTGAAACGAGATAAATTTTGTCAAAAAGATTCTCCAAGATCACTTATCTATATTTATATTAGTTTAAGTGAAGTGTGCTGGATTGCTGTGAAGTGTGGTAATTTATCATAATCTGGATCCAAACCAGCCTTTAAGTTAAGGTAGTTTTACATTCATTTTTATTTTATTCCGAATTCTAGCACTGTTTTTAAAATCTTTCCACTTGCTACTATGGCGCTACCTTAATTAGTTTCCTTTCAGCGAACACTTTTTTACACACTCAGAAGATGGTGCTCCATACTTTGACCCTCCATATATAAAACGAAGTCAACTAGTAAATGGGCCTGAAATATCAATAACCGTAACTGGCAACCGAAGTATGTACGTAGAAATGGAAACAGATTCCAACAGTAATATTTTCTATAACTTATCTCCATTACTGGTGGTAGGACCTCTTGTGAGTCCGCGCGGGTAGGTACCACGACCCCGCCTACTTCTGCCATGAAGCAGTAATGCGTTTCTGTTTGAAGGGCGGGGCAGCCGTTGTAACTATACTGAGATCTTAGAACTGATATCTCAAGGTGGAACTCAATATGTACGGTCCGTAATCCCCTACAAGGCGATCAATCAAGCATAACAATTAAAATTAGTTTAACAGCTAAGATCACAAAAGACCGCAATTTTAATAGCGATGCACATATTAGGCAAAATTTCGTCTTTAATTAAATAAAAATAAAACATAATTTGTTTCAACAATATATTTCTCTACAATAATATTATTTACTATTCATCTTCTTACAAAGTAGCACATTAGACATCGAAGGTATAATCATCCATGATTTTTATTCTTTATTCAACACAAAAAATATCAAAAAGCAAAACAAAACTCTATCTAATGCTTTACTTCATATAACGCGCACCACACCGCCCAGCGAGGTTATTTGAAACACCACAGATGTCAGATTACTACTCAAATAGTAAATTTTATAATTGGCAACACAGCATCGTCTCGCTCTAGCATGTCGGTGGCGTATTCGCCGTCTCTCGCACTATTCCGTCATCCAGTAGAAACGGGAGCCGAGCCTTGGTGGTTTCTTCTCGGCGTCTTCTGGTAGAGCTGGCGTGGCGTCCGGGTAGACAGCCTTTGGCTCCGGTAGAGGCTTCGGTCTACAAAAAAAATATTTGAGTCACAAATAATTCCCGATATCTCTATAGCGGTCACGATGGCTTACCTAATTAATATAATTTTTAGTTTACATTGAATTAGTTGTGTAATGTTGAGTGATAGTCAGTCCAATACAACCAAAATAACCTGAAAACACTGTACCATATATATATATATATATATATATATATATATGGAAATGGTGACCAGTCATCATAGTCAAAATAATGTATTTTTTTAAACAATCTTTATTGCGTGCGGTGTTCAGGACAAACATACCTCATCTCTCCTCATAAGTGCTATGAAAGATAACGAAGAGATTGACTAGGGAGTGGGCAGTAACATTCTTACGGTATTATGCTATTGTGAGGTTATTTATGGTTATTGGTTATCTATGGTGGTGTGTATTGTCGTATGGGAACCTCATTAGAGCATAACCTTGAGAGGCTATTTCAGCGTAACCGTGGCTAGTAGGTGAGCTCACGGGGCTCAAACCTGACGACGATGCTAACACGAACCCTAGCAAGAGCCGTGCTTCGCAGAATCTACCACCGGATCGGAAACGCGACCCACTGAGAAAATCCGACGAGAAACTCAGTGGGCTGTGTCTGAGAGTTAATTTACTCGTCGAGCCCTTCGTCGCAAGCGACGGGTTCGATGAGAACGGTGACCGGTGCTTGAAGTACCTAAAAGCACCGTTAGTGGATCGGGAGGAAAAGGATTGCTGCATGTTAACCACTGATTAACATATCGTCTTCTCGCATTAAAACTGTATAATCTCAAAACTTACTAATTTTACAGGAGATCGTTTTAAAGGTGTAACATGTGGTATTTTTAATATTAATCATCTTGGCAACATTTATTTTTTATTTTTTACCAGTTACATTATCTGCCTTTTAAAATAAGATAAAAGTATGTATTAACTTTGTTAATAGTAGTCAAACATTGATAAATAAAAAATAAAAAAACTAAAGCTACAATACGCTTTCTGACAGTATTTATGAGAAAAATACTGGTCATACCAAATGATTCCGCATATTAATTCAATTTCGAATATTTTTGAAAATTGTACACTTGAATGCGAAAAGACGATATATGGCTTATTACTAAAACTGTTGAGTAAGCTAAGTGGGGCGAGGTATCATTCTCCTACACCAGTATACTGCAACCGCCTTTATTAGTGGCAGAGCTATTGTGAACCTGGATACAAAGCTGTCACACATAAAACAATCATGCGTTTTGGTTTTCAAGGTGAGATAGTGATTATATGGTACTATGATGACTTTGAACTAATTTCTCATGGCAGCATAGACGTTGAGATCTTGTAACCATTTGACACGGTGGACCATGAGCTAAACCCTATATTTTTTATAATCCTAAGATGGATGGACGAGCTCACCGCCCACAGGGCGTTAAGTGGTCAATATGGCCAATAGACATCAACCATGTAAATGCAGCTGCCTTGAGACATGAGTTCTAAGTCTCGATTTTTACAGCATAACGGCTGCCCCGTCCTTCAAGCCCAAACACATTACTGCTTCACAACAGAAACAGGCAGGGTGGTGGTAACATACCTGCGTGGGCTTACAAGATAATCTACCACTGCAAGTCAATAAAAAATCATTGCAAATAAATTGCATTAAATTCAACCACGCAATCTCTGTTTAGTTCATGGAGGTAGATTCATCTTCCTCGTTTGAATGTATACGGTAGGCAGTGGCTTAGCTCTTCCCCTGGTATTGCTGATGTCCATGGGCGACGGTAACCACTCACCATCAGGTGGGCTGTATGCTCATCTGCCTACAAGGGCAATAAAAAAAAAAGAATTATGTTTAAGTAATACCTCTTGGTATCGTGAACTCGAGCCTCGCAGAAATATCCAAAGCCAGGGCGAGGTAAGTTTAGTTTCTCAAGCATGCACTGATCAAAAACGCCTTGAGTCTTCCGGCAACTGGAACATAAGATATTCACTTTTTGTATTCACGTTTTGTAGCCCCACATGATCAATATATGAAATCTTATTCACCTATTATTTAACAGATTATCTTCTTTGGTTTTCAATTTTAATGAGTAACATTTACACATATCAGTATATTGTTTCCGGAATCATTACTTTAACAACAATTTTGGTAAGTTATTATTGAATGTCAGATATACATAAAATTAAATTGCTAATAATTCTTCAATGTTTTTTTCATAATGATCTATAAGAAATAATGTTGTGAAATTTAAATACTTTAACAATTTTGGCACTAGTACATATTAAAGACTCCTTCAAGATATTTGTATCCAAAATAATCACGCATGCAAGCATGATGACTTGAAAAAATACATCCACGGGGAAAATTGTTTATGAAAGCATGTAACTTCTGTATTTTCCAAAAAATCTGGTACCACCTTCTGGATTCTTACTACCAATCAGCACAAGTACACATATTGGGGTACAGAACTGTCAAGATATTAATTATTTACAAATCACTGACTGCCTGAAAGCGTAGTCTCCTGAGCTCTTGTCTAAACAGTTGGAGTACTGATTAAACTCAGCCAAGCAGGTCTTCTTCACTTTCCTGAAGAACTCCAATGTACAGGCAGTGACCGCCTTACCCTCGTTGATACATTTTCTAGGATCATTCTCTTCTTGACGACACAGCATGTACTCCTAGACAACACAATGATTACTTTTGAACATATTTTGTTGATCTATATGATGTAGATTTTGATACATTAATATTTAAAAACTTTCAATTTTTGTGAGCTGTTTTTGCTTATTTGTTAAGATTCATTGCAGAATGTACTTAAAAATTTTGTTATGTTTCTATACAATCACTTAATTTTAATAATGTAAACAATAAAATCGAAAGAAGTGCAAGAATTTCTATAAATATCTGAAAATAAAAGTAACTGATGCTCTTAGAAGTAAATAAGTACAGGTGTAAATTTTATAAGAAAAATAATAAATTGTGATAAAACAAATTCTCTCATCAAAACATAACCTATATTTTTGTTGATTATGCAATCAAACACTTTCTTTTAAAAGATATGATATACACTTAATATTTCAAGAAAATTTTTATATTGTTATTTACTTACATTGTTAATGGTTTCACAATATTTTCCCAAATGAAAGGAACCAGCATATAAAGTTGATCCAGATAAATTGACCTCTTGGACGGTCAACTCTGAATCTTCGGGTAAATAGACGTCGGCGGTCACCACCATTGTTTTATTTAAGTTGTATTACACAAGCAATTTTGAATTAATTAATATTTTGCCGAAACAAATATGATAATTCCTTCCACAAAAGCAGTGGAAGAAATCTGTCTCGAAAAACAACAAAATTTGTCTTTATTTTTTAAAGCGGTGTAGATTTATTCGGATTCTTTGTATGTGAGCGAGATAGCATTCATTCAATTTCTACTGAATTTTGTAGGATAATAGTAGTAATTTCATTTTCTTTAGAGTTGAGGAAGAGGGAACACGCACAACTTCAAACACCTTCATCAAATTAGATTAAACTAAACCATAAATTAATATATAAATTTATTATAAATATATTATAAATAAATTTATTATTAATTTATAAATAATAATTAAAAAACCTTAAATGTAGAGTTGAAAAATATAATAAAAGTACCAATACGCGTAAATTTAAAGAAATTGTTCAAAAGCTTATATATAAAAGAGCAGCTCTACTGACAAAGAAACTTTAAAATAATGACGCACGCAGACTTGAGCACGAAATCACGAAATACATTCTATAAATTATTGACTATTTGACTATTTCTGGTTTTTGAGTTTCGCTATTAGTAGGAGTAGGTAGTCTTATCTTAATGCTGAAATAGATAAAAAGTAAAAGTTTTTTTAGCAGCAACGAAACTTTTAGCAAGGCTTTGTATGGCAAATTGATGAGAATTCTATATATAACAAACTGACAATTTTGAGAAAGCATCGGAAAACTGCAACTCTAATGCTTCGACCTCGAAGTCATGTTGTATTATTTTTTTAATCAATTTTATGCACCCTAGAATATTACTGGTGGTAGGACCTCCTTTGAGTTCATTGAAAAAGTCAGTAAATGACCAACATTTTACTGAGATTATATTTCATACATTATCATCTCATCTCATCTCATTTAATTTCATGCCATGTTTCATATCAATCAACTTCACTTCATTTCACTTCATATTATAATTTTTCAGTTAAATAAGAAATTTAAGATAACGTTGGTATTTACCTTGGCCTTTCCATTTGAAAAAGTAAAACTACTACTACTATAATCTATGGTTTCACGGTTGTATGGGCTTAGATCCCCTTGCCTTTCCTAATAAGGAAAAACTGTACCAAAAAATCTATGGTTTAAAGATGACAGTTTGAGTCGGTTAATTAGCAGGCACTGTAAAAATAAGCATTTTAAAATAAAATTAAAGAACCACGCTTGTTAATAAAACACGTAAAAATGTGCGATAATGAATTGATCAATAAAATATTCAGTGACTTCCAAAAGAATCTCGACCAAGAACAAGAACTACGCGAGGTATAGTAAATTTGCCGGGTTTTATAGATTGTCTGTTTTGAAGTCGTAATGGCTTGTGGGATAAGACTCCCGGTGTACTTGTCTAAGTGATTAAATGATGTGACTATGCCAGTGTTCACATTCCACAGGCAGGTATAAAATTTTCTAATGAAATACGTACATAACACATGTTTTCGAATGGTTTACACAATTAAGGAATGGCGCCGTCAGAGAAAATTTTAAATCCTGAGTTTTTTTTTACCTACCTATCTGCCCATAGACTCGAGGGACTATTCTGATTTCATCTTGACGGACGGGTGAGCTCACAGGGCTCATCCTAAAAGAAATTACCTAAAAGAGCATTTCTTTGCTGAATCTACCACCGGATCGGAAACGCGATTTACTGAAAAGATCCGACGTGAAATTCAGTAGATTAGGCAGTTGCGGTACGCATTTTTTTAATTAGATCACTTCCAACATTAGGAGTATATTAAGTTTTCTTCGTTACCAACGACTAAAGTGTCATTTGTCAACATTTGAATATTGTCATAGAATGATAGCTTAGAGAGAATGCGAGATTAAACGGTAAAAGTACTTTTGATTATCTTAGTTTCTCATCTTTCAAGAAATGCAGTGGTATTCACATTGTCATCTCCGAGGGCTCTGGTAACCGTATAATGCCAGTTGAAAAATACCCTCGTTCACTCAACTTAACAAAAAAAGTATTGAAGTTTCAAGTTAATAATAAATAAATAAATAAATATTTACTAACAATTACGCCACGGTAACTGATCCCGTGATGAGTTCGTAAAGAACTCGTGTTACAGGTACCAGATAACGGAAATAAATGTAAGATTTTTATTATACACATACATATATTTAATATACATCCATAACCCTGGAAAAGACATTTATATTTATCATACAAATATCTTCCCTTGGCGGGATTCGAACCCGCGACCCCCTTATGTAGTGACCATGTCATTTACCACTACACCAGACAGCTGTTTAATGTTAATATAATTACAGACTATTCGGACTATATGTAAAGAGGTTGACCAAATATCTCGGGAAGCGACCACAGTGCTCCAAGTAATACACTACAATGAAGCCGGCAGTAAGTTTCATATACAGTAATACATACCCCATATAATACAGTACTCATACAACATGTGTTGTACCCCATATAAAATAGCGTCTACCCTCTACACTATATATACTATAGACTACATCTCTGTATGAACTAAAAGTATTCTCAACTAGCTGACCCGGCAGACTTCTTGTGCCTCAATCGATAAATAAAAAACCTAAACTTTTGTATAAAATTAACTTAAAACAAACAAAAGGAATCCGTCCGTCGGGGGACACATCAAAGGGAAAACAAAATTGTTATTTTTATTTAATTCCGAGCATTTTCATGTTTATCTACCTTTTAAACCTTCTCTGGACTTCCACAAATAATTCAAGACCAAAATTAGTCAAATCGGTCCAGCCGTTCTCGAGTTTTAGTGAGACTAACGAACAGCAATTAATTTTTATATATATATATATAGATAAGATAGATTTAATTTTAGTAAAATACACAAAATTAATTGGAAATAAACTCTTTTTTTTTTTTTTAATGGGAATCTGCCGATACTTTCAGCAATTTCTGCCAGTGTCGTGTTATGGCTACACATGGAACTCCTTAATGGGAAACATTATATAGAGCTATATGGGCATGGGTTTTAAAAGCATTCATGAAATGATAAGTACAGTGTTTGATCACCATTTCAATAGGTAAACAGTGACTTGGCGGTGCTCCTGGCATTGCTGACGTCCAAGAGCGACGGTAACCACTCACCATCAGGTGAACCGTATGCTCGACTGCCTAAAACGGCAATAAAAATATATATAGTTCAAATAAAACTTGAATTGGTACATTGATTAAAGGTTGTCGAGTGACGTTGAGACTACACTTTTGTCATAGTACTTTGAACACATGCAAATGAAAACGGTAATTTCCTAATCAAACAGTTGCTCCGGCATGTGGCAAAGCTCGTCTACTTTTCGAGAAGGCCCACGATGGATACGCAAGACTGAAAGATGCTGTACCACCAACAGATTACTTCAAGTAATGTGATTGTCAGAATTATTTTATTACTAGCCGTACTCTGGGCTTTAAAATTGACATTACTATTTATTGTCATTATTATTAGGGTGTCCAATGCTCATATAAATATTAGCCTATCCATTAAGTACATGTATTTTCTACACGGTTTTTTTTTTTTTTTTTTATTGCTTAGATGGATAGACGAGCTCACAGCCCACCCGGTGTTAAGTGGTTACTGGAGCCCATAGACATCTACAACGTAAATGCGCCACCCATCTTGAGATATAAGTTCTAAGGTCTCATTATAGTTACAACGGCTTGCCCACCCTTCAAACCGAAACGTATTATTGCTTCACGGCAGAAATAGGCAGGATGGTGGTACCTACCCGCGCGGACTCACAAGAGGTCCTACCACCAGTAATTAAGCAAGTTATAATTTTGCGGGTTTGATTTTTATTACACGATGTTATTCCTTCACCGGAAAAGTCAATAGTGAACATTAGTATCTAGTAGTCTTAGTATTTAGTAGTATCTAGTAGACTCTGAGAAAGACGAATCTGAAGACACTGAAATGAATCTATTTCTAAGAGATTTAAGAGTCATGCTACATTAACAAACAAAAGAAGGCAAATCTAGGCAATCTTTAGGCGCTTAGTAACAGAAATTGACTTAAGTACTTCAATCAGTCGCGTAGGGCACCGGTGACCTACACGGCAGTCGATGGGTTAAACAAAACGCGTGTGGAACTTTAACTGAACTTCTTGAAGTTCTAGTTTTTATCAAGATTATAGACTTTTAAAATATCTTAAAGACTAAACGGTAAAAGTCACAAATTGTTTATCGACCTTGCAAATTATTGGACTTTATAAATTTTAATTCTAAGATTTTCGTTTGATAATGTCAAGTTGATATAAAATACTGACTGCCTGATTTCGGCTTGGCCCGAATTATAGTATACGTGGCGGGTAGCCATCACAGAACACAAGATATTTGACAGATGCCAGAATCTCGCTTACGACAATTTCAACATAAGCTCGCATATATACAAGTTCCGAACAACAACATTCGGACCGTCGGTCTACCGAGCTAATATCATCCGCTCGGTGGAACTTCCACGTAAGCGAGATTCAGGCATCTCAAATATCTTGCGTTGTATGATGGCTACCCGCCACAGTACAGTACGCTAAGCCCACCGGTGGGCCTTAAAGCGTTCAACGTGTTAAGCAATTCCTGTTATAATTATGGATTTTGTTTGTTTGCCGTTTGATGGTAACCGGTTACTGTTGACCATGGACGTCAGCAATGCCAGCGGCTAAGTTTCCACCCACAGCTTTATATGTACCGAGTTATTATAATCGAAAATTTATTCTGATTTATTCATATATATAAAGTTTTGTTTATAATGCAACTGATTATCAATAATACACATAAAAATACACTATAAATTTTAAAATTGATATGCCAGTATTGTACTCAAGAGTTGAAACGGAAATTCCATTTCAGGTATCAGGATCACTGGAGATTCATGACCCAACGCTACTGTTATCTGATAGCGCTCACGATATGGCTAGAGAAGGGAATCCTGGCTTCACACGAGACCATGGCTGAAATATTAGGTGGTATGTGTTACACAATATTATTATTGGGCATCTTGGCTTAGTAGAATGGCGCTACCTTTTATCCCGAACAAAAATTTCACTGCGACGCTTAATTGAGTCGACTATTATCAAAGC